TTGATCGGGGGTGCTGAGTCATCAGAGAATGTGTTTCTTAGGGAGCCTTTCGTCCTTGTTAGTCTTTGGAACTCTCCTTGGGAGTTCAACAGAGAGAGTAGCCCAGGAGGATAAGGAGCTGAGGAGATGACAGAGGTTGAGGAACGACCCATATCATATTCTGGGAGGTGGCAGGGGCCATGAGATCATACACCAGGCATGAGGGAACGACTGGCATCCACTTTGTTCATTATGGCACCCCACATGCTCATTACCACCCTGGGACCTGGGGTCCCCACCACACCACTGAGACAACTGTCGCTGAGCATAGTTAATCCAAGGTCATCTAGGTGGAAGTAGTGGGGCTAAGATCTGATTCCATATCATCCAGGCTCCTAAATATTTGCTTTTTTCCTACTGCCACCTGCCCAGTGGCCTCCCTGAGGCACAGAGGTGTTGGGTACAGCTTGTAGAGTCAGGCTGCGCGTTTCAATTCTAGCTCCTCTATTTAAATAGCTCAATGATCCCAGGTCAGTTCCTGATCCTCATCTGTAAAATGGGGATGATTTTCTCACCTTTCCCACAGACGTTTCCGGAGGATTAAAGGGAGAGTGGGTCTAAAGCTCTAGGTACACGTGCCTGGCATGTGAGTGCTCCGTAAATGTTAGTTACCATGATTTTTATTAGCCCAGCAGGACAGAGAGGCGTGGTAGGCCCCTGGGGTGCGATCGCTCCAATGTTTACTCCTCAGACTGTCCTGGCCTGGCCGTGCTCCTGGGTTTGTTTTTCCTGTCCCGAGGTTGCCCCAGTACTCTGCAGTGACCGGCCGGGCTGAGATGATTATACAACCTCTACTCCGGGCCAAGTCCGGTACTTGCCTCTGCTGTCGGCTAGGCCTGCACTGCTGTGGGTGAGGGAATCACTCCTCTCCAGCTGGCTTTCTCACGCTGGAGAAGCCTGACCTTTATTCAGAATCGTCCTTCAGCACCCGCATTACACAGCACCCTGGCTCACCTGCCCCTCCTCCAACGTGTCCTTTACATTCTCATCTGGGGAGATAATGGGGTTCCAGTATCCCCAAGACAGCTGCTTTTCCTTTCTTCTTCATTTTTGATGCCTCTGTCCTCCAGAGGTGCCGCGTAGACTGTAGAGGGATACATGAAAGGGCGGTAAGGTGACAAAGGAAACAGCTGTGTTCAATGCTGGCTGCTTACTCTGCGGGACAGAACAACTGCTCTACCTTTAAAGTCAATCATCAGGATAATATACAGTATTTTGTGTATCTATACACACGTTTAGGTTTTATAATACATTTTTGTGACGTTGTGATGATGGTAAAAGCTTAGCCCAGTGACTGGCGTGTCATAAGCACCCCACAGGGGCCAGCTGGCATCATTAGCAGTTATAGGAAAACTCAGGGTGTGTCTCCATTCCAGGCTTTGTGGCCTCTGGGTCTCAGTGCCCCCACTGTCCTGTGGGGTTGCTGAGAGCCGTTCTCATAAGGTTGTGAGGATGGGAATTTGAGAGGAGTCTGAGAAAGCCGGAGCCCACCAGGTCAACAGCTGGACTGAGCTCACCCCTTGTCCCCTGGGCCTTGTGGAAACTTTGGGCCTGGTGGTGACACCTACCCCTCCATCCCACCAGGCAGGCCCAGCTGACCTTCCCAGTACAGGGGCTGGGAAGCTGCAAAAACCTATAGGCCCAGAATTTCTACCTGTCGGTCAGCCCCACTGCCATGTCTCATTTATTTTTCTCGATCCCCTTTTCTATCTCCCCTTCTAGCACCTTCTGAAACTCCCTAGACTTGTGCTGCCAATACACCAACCCTTGCTTACTTGTCGTATCAGGCAGATGGCCCAGGTGTCCCCAGCTCACTGAAGCTCTTCCCTTCCCCTCCCCTGGGCAGGGGCCTCAGGCCTTCCTCTGACTGATCTAGCCCACCTCCCAGTGTCCAGAGGGTTAGGTTGGCAAAAATCGCAATTACTTTTGCACCAACATAACAACTTTTGCACCAACGCCAGGAGATCTCCTGCCATCAGTCTTCCATCCTTCTGCCTGAGACTTTATTCTTTCTGTTCTTTCTGTTTCTTGCTGCCCAGGGTGCCCTCACCTCCCGTGGCTGAAATGCTGCCCTCTCCCATCCTGCCCAGACGCCTCTTCTACCAAGCTTTTCCCACCACTCCATCTGGAGTAATACATATACGCAACTGTAAAATCTCTCTTTTTTGGTCTTTTCATATTTTTTTTTCCATTTTCGTTATTTGCTGCCATGTTCCTCAGGGAAGAGAGTCTACCTTCATGATGCCAGCAAGAGCTTGGATCACAGCAAGAGCTTGGAGCTCTCTCCACACCTCACTTCACTCATCGGTAAAATGAGGATAAGCGTTGTAAATAACCAGCCCTCTTAAGAGTTGCTGTAAGGCTTGAAAGAGGCTTTTGGTATGAATATCACCTGTCTCAGGGCTCTGCATATTATAAGGAACCAATGAATGAGTGACTGAATGATGGAATGGATGAAGGCCTTTACTGGTCTACTTGAAGTTGTCAACATGGATAGGTTTTTGCTACAGTCCTCCCTACCCTTCCTAATGCCACATCAGCAGCATGGCATACACACCTGCCAATCCAGGTTCTGCATGAGGCTCTCAGGTCACCTAAATGACAGCTGTGAATTCTTCTGAAACAGGGGTCAGCAAATGGTGATTTCTGTGTTAAATCCAGCCTACTGCCTAGTTTTGTATAGCTTCCACACCAAGGATGGTTGCTACATTTTAAAATGTTTTTTACATAGAACATGTTACATTTTTCAATGTAATGTAAATTAAATGTAAATGTAAACATGTACATTTTTACATGCTTAAATTAAAATCACAGAAAGTGCAATTTCATAGCATGAAAATTATAGGAAATTCTAACATTAGCATTTATAAATAAAGTCTTATTGACACTCCACTATGCTCATTTATTTATATATTATCTACATAAGCTATAGTTGGTGTGTGCAGAGCTTTCACTCAATGATGGTACAGCTGAGTAGTTTCAACAGACATGGCATGGCCCACAAAACCAAAATATTTACTACTTGGCCCTGGCCTATTACAAAAAAAAAAAACTTGTGCTGATTCTTGGTCTATGAAACAGAAGCAATGATGAATACCTGCCCTTCGTGTGTGGGTGAAATGTTAAAGTGCTTGATATCAAGTGGGCACTCAAAAAAGATTGTTTCTTCTACTCTCTCTTCCTCCCTGTCTTCATTCTCTTTCACAGGGGGCTCTTTATTTCAGGGTCCAAGCCATGAAAAACCACAAGGGAAAGGATGGCAGGGAGACTCTGAACCAGTGCCATGCCTATACCAGGCGTCAGAACAGCAGAGCTGTGTGTGTCAGCTCCACCTTCCTGCTCCAGGGCCTCCCCAGGCCTCTAAGTCTGTGGGACTGCCAGGGTACAGGCAGAGTTTAAATCTGCAGTTTTGCATTTTGCATCTCTGGGTTCCAGATGTGGATGCGTCCAGCCCTGCCTGGCCTGTCCCAGAGAGCAGCTTCTGTTTGGTTTATCAGCAGCTTCACAGCTTCCACTGCATCTTTTCTTGCTTTGGGCATTAAAACTTGGGCTGCAGCTTTAGTTTGGCTTGGGTTAAGGTGGGATTCAGCCTCTGGGCTAAAATTGAGGGTCTTGATTCTGCTTTGAGAAATGGTATGGCATCCTGAAAGGAACCAAGATTTGGAATCTGGGCTGGAATCCTAGTTGTGCCCCTCACAAGCTCTAGGATTCGTACCTTTCTCTTTTTTTGAAAAGTGGGGGTGATGCTTTTTGCTGGAAAGGGGTGTTGGCAGGGTTCTCTATCATGTAGGGTTGAGGGAGTTAGGTTTTGTCTTTCTGCACTGAAGCTCAGCTCTTAGAACAGTGCCTGGCGTGGGGTAAGCACTCAGCAAGCACCTGCCTTAGAAAGGAGATTAAAAGATGTAGAATTCCTGGCACATGATAGAATCTTATTAAGTAGTCACATTGCCATTGTCTGTACTCAACCAGCAATTGGCAAACTATGGCCCACAGCCTGTTTTTGTAAATAAAGTTTTATTGGAACATAGCTATGCCCATTTCTTCACATCTTGTCGGTGGCTGCTTTCCTGCTATAGTGGGGGAGTGGAATAGTTACGAGAGAGACCTCTGCCCTGCCAAGCCTAAAATATATACTGTCTGTCTCTTTACATTAAAACTTTGTGGTTCCTTCTCTGAATGTCAGGGTGACCCTGTCTGAGGATGGTCACGGATTTCATTTTCCCTTGTTTGTTAATGTTGTGGTCGGTCACAAGCCGAAAACAATGAACCAGCTTGAGGTACGTATTCTCGATGCCCTTTCTAAGATATGTATGGAGGCTTTTCTTTTCTGCTCCAATTCCACCACACTCTTTTGGTGTGGTCAGGACTGGCTTCTTTGTGCCTCCCCCCAGATCTCATATGTAAGATGGTGTTACTTTCATTTCTTTGTAAAAAGAAACTCAATCCACCTGTCAATTGCTGGTCTATTCATTAGGGATTAACCACGGGTCCCGCAACAAGTCTAGGCTCAGGGCCCAGAGGACAGGAGTCAAGATAAAAAAGATGGCCAACCAGGTCCAACTGTGCTTTGTAATATTATAGAATAGAATGCGGATGGGGCATAGGAGGGAGTCCACTGTGTTTGTGGGGCACAGGGTACGTAAGTTTCTGATCTACTTTTCCATCACGGTGAATGGCCTGTCCTTAGATGCCTTAGTTAGCTTCATTCAAACTCAATTTTCCAATCTGTGAAATGGTAGCGTTCACTTTATGTTGTCACTCTCTTTGATGACCAGGGCTCACAGTTAGGAGCCTCTCAAGACCTTGGCATCTAGGGTGGTGAAGGAGAGCTTTCTGGAATGAGTGAACATGTGTCAAGTGCTCTGAAGTCCTTATATGAAGGGCACCCTGTCCCCTGTACCAGCTGAGCAATGCAGGTGGGCTACTGTCAAAGGATCTTTTTTTTCTCTCTTTCTCTCCAGAAGGACAGAATAACGGACTCCTAGATTACCAAGCCCCACCCAGAGGATCACCCCAGGAGCCCTTGGAGGCTGAGGAGCTCACTGAGACTGGTGCATCTGGAGACTCCAGGATGAAGACCCAGCTTGGGGCTGTCAAAGGTGCAACCTGCCAGCTGAGCTCTCCACGGGTTGAGTCCGGTCCCCTTTGCCTTGTTCATGGCTTAGGACAGTGCTTAGCATGTAGTAAAAAACTTGAAAATATTTGTTAGAGGGTGTACAGTGGGTCATCTCTTCTGAACGGCACACTGTCCACTGTCATTGTCCTCAGAGGCTCCAGCCTCAGGTGCTTCTTAAACTGCAGTGTGGATGATGGCAGCAGGTAGGTCCACGGCTCAGTGTGAGAGCTCACAGCAGGCGCTGCTCCACCCCACCCAGGCCCCAGTCTTGCTGTGTTTTCTCTGCCTCCCTAGGCTGGCCTAGAAACTGCTTCCAACTGAAGCCAGCCAACATGCCTGCCCCTAACCTCACCTAAAACTCTAGGGTCACCTTTAGTCTAGATAGGTGTCCTTAAACTACAGCCTTTGCCGGGCGCGGTGGCTCATGCCTGTAATCCCAGAACTTTGGGAGGCTGAGACAGGTGGATTACTTGAGGTCAGAAGTTCAAGATCAGCCTGGCCAACATGGCAAAACCCCATCTCTATGAAAAATACAAAAATTAGCCGGGCATGGTGGTGCACACCTGTAATCCCACCTACTCGGGAGGCTGAGGCAGGAGAATTGCTTGAATCCAGGAGGCAGAGGTTGCAGGGATCCTGAGATTGCACCACTGAACTCTAGCCTGGTGACAGAGTGAGACTCTGTCTCAAAAAACAAAAACAAAAAGCTACAGCCTTTGGGCTAAACCTGATCAGTGATCTGTGCTTGTAAGAGCTCTGAGTTAAGAACAATTTTTATGTCTCTAAAGGCTTGAAGTATGCAAAAAGAATATTCAACAGAAGCTATCTGGCTAGCAAAGCCTAAAGTATTGACCCTCCGGCCCCTTTACAGAAAAGGTGTGCCAGTCGCTGGATTAGGCACTGCCGACCACACACCATGCTCCCTGTGAAAACTTCAAGCACACGGACTCATTTCCTTTCTCTTATCAACACTGAGGCAGGTGTGATTATCTTTCCTTGTAACAATGAAGAAACTAAGGCATGGAGTGGTTTAACTCATTTACCTGAGAATCTATTAAGTAACAGAGCCAGGATTCACACCCAGGCAGTCCAGCTTCAGAGTCCCTGCTTCTTAACTGGCATACCACTTGACCTCTGAATATGGCTGTGATCAAGTTTTATGACTCTCCCTTGCTTAGCTGCTCTCTGGGCTGTGAGTGTAGGGATAAGCTTCAGACAAGAACTCCCCTCTTAGTTTCTGTCCTCTATTGCCCCACAGCCAGTGGACAGGCGTTTTGCACCCCAGCCTGTCCCCAGCCAGCTCCTCCTCAGCAATTTCCTGCAGGGACTTAGATGGGGCTCTGGGACCACCCTCCCTTTCTGCCCCACCTGGCACCTGGAAGTCTGCTTGATTCTGCTCCCTCTGAGTCTGGACACATCTCCATGAGCTAGGCCTGAAGGTATTCCCCTCTCTGGACCTTGGGGCCTCCCTTTTTAGGGGCAGTTCCTGGGTCCCCTCTCCTCTCTGCCTTCCCCACCTCCCACCGTGTCCTTCCAATAAGGGGCTGGATTTGTAGCATGCAGCCTTGGGAACAGGACTGGGCTCAGGGTCTCTGGCTGACCTGCTCCCATCCCCAGGAGGAGAAGCTGCTGTGTTTAGAGTGTCACAACAAACAGTGCCGGAGGCTTCAGTAACCAGGGGTGATGCTGAACTTTAAGGCTGAGCAAATGCGATGGTGCCTCTGTGATCAACACACCTGACAAAGAAGTAAAGGAAGGGGTGAGACTGGAAAGATAGCTGCCAAGGGAAACAGAGCTTTTCAAGTCACTCTGTCCCTTCCCCACTTCACCATCAAGGCTAAGACTAAACCTCACCATCCAGTTGCGGGCCCCTCAGTCCTGGGGGTGGACATTAGTGAAGGTAGAGAGGCCATGTTCTGGCTGTGTGACCTTGCACAGGTTACGAAGCCCTTTGTATCTCACTTTCCTTGTTTTTAAAATGATGATGATGATGACTTATATTAGAAATAATATAAAGGGCAGGATCTTATATTAGAAATAATACGGTTCCTGGCGCATTGCTCAGTGTGAAATTGTCTTCTGCCTGCTACCCTTCATCAGTCCTCACCTCCTCTGCAGAGGTTTCTTCCATGTTGAGGTTGAGCAAACTGGCAGCACCTAACTTCCTGCTGGGTGCATCCCTAGTGCCTTCTGCCCAGGCCTCAGGACCTCCAGGGATCCTGGCCCCTTTGGACAGGGACTTTTGTGCCCTCCTTCTCTTTTATCCAGCAAGAGTGAGTCCTGCACGGAATTTCCATGGGATCATTGCTTGCTAACACTTGTGAGTGAGTCACTGTCTAGAAAGCAGCTTTTCTGACCTTTTCCCATTAATTTCACAAAAGTTATCCCCCTTTGCCCTTACTACAGCCCTGTGAGAGGTTCATTACCCCACATCAGAGACAATTTATGCTCCACGATGAAGTGACTCCCCCAGGGTCAACTAGCTAAGCAGTGGCAAGTGGGCCACCCACCCAGGCCATCTCAGTCTGACTCCTGTTCTCTGTGTCATTGCGTATGGCGACGTGTGGGTCATATGATCACACATCCCTGGCTGATATGAATTGTGAGCTTCTCCTGGGTCTTCCGAGGAAGGATCCTTTCAGGGGTGCTTTGGAATGAAGGCAGTGGAGGCCAAGAGACCTCTAGGTCAAAGCCAGGCAGGAGGGTCCTCTCAAGGGTCCAGCCAACAAGTTGCATTTCTCCCTCAGAGGCTTGAAGAGGCAGAACAGCCAGAGGAGTCTGGAGCCACCTCAGTGTCACTATGGGAAAACAGCAACAGGAAATGTCCTCTTGCCTGCATGCACCACCTCAACCTGCCCCTTCGCTCCTTCTGGAAGCTGTGCCTGACCACTGGCCTGCCCCTTCTATGGGAATCCCTACTGACCTTGCCACTTACTATAGGCTTATATGTATGCATAAATATAATTTTAATTACTTTTGTATTGCTCCAAAAGTGATAGAGAATCATGATAGAAAATTTAAATAAACAAAGTAGCCCAATTAATACCAGTAATCATCCCAGTCAAATATACCCAGCTCATATTTTGGTATCTAATCGTCCAGTACATTTTCTATGTATATATTTATTTTTAGGAAGGAGACTATATTTTACATACTGTTTTCTAAAATATTCTTTTAAAACTATCAGGAACATCTTTCCTTATAATTAAATAGTCTTCTGCAACAAACTTTCCTGATGAATATTTTTATCATGGTCACTGTTGTGTTACGTGCATCTTAGTTTAGCATCCTCAGTTACACTCTAAGCTTATTAAGCACCATGTTCTCCAACCAGCTCCAGGATGGCTTTGTTCATTGGTTGGTGGCTGTGTGGGGAAGGGGAAGGAAGTAGAAAGTGAGTGGGATTTGAGTAAACAAGCTGGGTTTAAATGCTGAGTCTGCATATTCCATAAGCCCACCTGCCTGCCTACCTGCCCGCCTGCCTTCTTTTTCCCTTCCCTTTCCCTTCCTTTCCCCTTTCCTTTCCCTTCCCTTTCCCTTCCCCCTTCCTTCCCCCTTCCTTCCCCCTCCCTTCCCTTCCCCTATCCTTCCCCTTCCCTTCCTCCTTCCCCCTTCCCCTCCCCCTCCCTTCCCTTCCCTTCCCCTCCCCCTCCCTTCCCTTCCCTTCCCCTCCCCCTCCCTTCCCTTCCCTTCCCCTCCCCCTCCCTTCCCTTCCCTTCCCCTCCCCTCCCTTCCCTTCCCTTCCCCTCCCCCTCCCTTCCCTTCCCTTCCCCTCCCCCTCCCTTCCCTTCCCTTCCCCTCCCCCTCCCTTCCCTTCCCTTCCCCTCCCCCTCCCTTCCCTTCCCTTCCCCTCCCCCTCCCTTCCCTTCCCTTCCCTTTCCTTCCCTTCCCCTTCTCCCTTCTCCCTTCTCCCTTTCCTTCCCTCTTTCCTATAACAAATACCCTGTTAGATATTTTATATATTCATGTAAATATGCACTCATTTAAATATCTTCTGGGCACCTCCTCTGAGTGGCCCTGAGCTTGGTTCTGGGGCTGTGGCACTGCACAGGAGAAACCAGGTCTCTGCTTCCCAGGAGCACAGTGCATCCAGTGGGGGCACAGACTCAAATCAAGCCAACAGACAAAACCTGAACAGGTAACTAACTGGTGTTAAGTACAACATTAACATGGATAAGAACGGGAATTACAGGGGAACACACTTGAGCTGGAGTCCAGCAAAGCCCTCTCTGGGGAGGTGTCAAGCCAAGACCTAAAGGAGCCTGCTGCAGGGAGGATGGAGAAGAATTTCTGGCAAAGGCCCTGAGATGAGGAAGGCCCTGAGATGGGAAAGGATCAGGGATGGGGAAGGCTTTGGCTTACATGAGGGACTTCAGTTGGTCTGAGCAGCCGCAGATCATGAGGGAGCAGGCAGTCTGCAGGAAGGTTGGGGTTCAACAATGGCCAGGAGACACTGGGTTCATGGGGTTTGGCAGGGAGACTGGCTTTACTCTAAGAGCAGTGGACAGTCACTGAGGGATTTTATGTGGGTCATTTGCATGTTAAAGTTCTCTGGGGTGCTGTGTGGAGATTAATCTGCACAGGCTCCATCTGGCTTTCAGACCCTACTCTTCCAAATTGCCTTCTTTCTCACTGGCCTTGAGAGTCACAACATTTGCCTTGAGGGCTTTTTCCTTAGATAGCTTCTTTTTTCTATCTTTACAAAACTCCTTGAGGAAAATCTTGGGGAAATCTGTCATCTTTACATTGCCATCTCCCTCTCCTTGGCCTCCAGGCTGGTGTATCCAGCTGCTTCTGCCACATCTTCATTTGAGTGTCTAATTGTCATCACAAACTTCTGACCCTTGCCCCAGGATCTCCTGATCTGCCATCTTCTCCATGTTTGCTCATGGCGACTCTGTCTTATCAGTCACTCAGGCTATAACCTTGAGGTCAGTCAACCTTGGGACTCCCCTCTCTCATCCATCTTATGGAAACTATCTTAGCAAAAGGTATGTCAGTGAGAAAATTATAACAGTAAGCTAAGCTAACTCCATCTCCATTTTGCCTTTCCCTTAATTATTCCTGGGGTATTGGGCCAGGCTAATTTTGGAAGAAACTTATGCTGCAGTTTAAATGATAATAGGCCTCACCCAAAACGCAACCACTTTTGTAAAGATAGCAAGAGGCCATCATGCTGCAGGGAGGAGAGGAGCCTGAATCCTGCTAAGGTGCAGATGTTATTCCAGAGGTTATGAGATATGCAACTTCCTCAATTACTCCAGCAAACAACACTTCTATCATAGATTGGCCTTTCGTGAGCTCTTTATATATTTTTTTTGCGTGTCTGACACCCTTGGCTCTGCCTGGACCTCATGGCCCTATCCAGAAGCAATTCAGCCCCACAGGAGGACAGCTTCAACCCCCGACAATTTCATCTCTGCCCCAGCCAATCAACAGCAAGCACTTGTTACCTGTCCACCTGGCCCCTTCCCCCAAACTGCCTTTGAAAACCCACTAACCTATGAGCTTTGAACAAGATGATTTAAGTAAGAACTCCATCTCCCATGCTACATGGCCAGCCTCATGTCTATTAAATTCTTTCTTTGCTACAAAGCCGTGGTCTGTCTTTATGCAGTGGGCAGGAAGAACCCTTTGAGCGGTTACACATTTGGGGGCTCATCTAACCCCTAACCCTAACCCTAACCCTAACCCTAACCCTAACCCTAACCCTAACCCTAACCCTAACCCCTAACCCTAACCCTAACCCTAACCCTAACCCTAACCCTACTGCCCTTGGTTCAGTAGCCCCCCACTGGCAATGGGCCTGGAGGCCAGGCCAAGTGGCTGCCTAGTTCTCCCAGCGGAGAGATGGGGGCTGACTCCAGCACCATCTCTACCGGCGGGACACTGCTGACCATAATGTATGGAAGCAGTGGGTAGGAAGAACCCCTTGGTTGGGCAGTTATGCTATCTATCCAGCCCATCTGTCAAATGCATCCAGAATGCCAACTCCCCTCACTTCTTGGTCCAAGCCGTCATCATTCCTGCCTGGATTTTTGCAGCAGCCCCTGGACTGGCCTCCAAGCTTCTGCCTTCACCTGTCAATCTGTTCTGAAAACAGCAGCCGGGGTGATCCTTTGAATGGCAACCAGAGCACATAATCCCGTTTGCTTCAAAACCCTCAAAGGGTTCCATCCAGTTTGGAGTAAAAGCCATAGGCCTCACCGTGGCCTGCGAGGCCCATGGGGTGCAGCCCTGCGATATCTTGATGTCTCTAGTCACTCCTTGTCCTTCCCATCTCATTTCACCCTGGCATCCTGGCCCCTTTGTCATCACTCAGCCCCTCCAGGCACCTGCTGTTTCCTCCCACTCCCTCATCCTGCTCAGTCTTTGCTCAGGTGTCATCATTTCCATGAGGCCTTCCCTGGCCACCAGATTTAACATTCAAATCTCCCCGTGTCCCACGAAGCTCGCTATGCGCTTCCCTGGCTTTATTTTCCTCCATTGTTCTTGGCGTCTCCTAATGGGTCCTACAATTGTCTGAGTTGATATATTAGTTTCTCCTACTCCCCTGGAGTATCAGCTTCAGGAAGGCAGGGATTTTTGTCTTATCTCTTTCCAAGAAAAGTATCTGGACTTGGCAGGCACTCCATGAGTATTTGTAAAACAGGTGATTGGACTTCCTTATACCAAAGAGAATCTACACAGAAAACAAATCTTTGCTTCAAGCATCAACCTTTTGGTATACATATATATGTCCAAGTTTCTCTATTTTTTTTTTTCAGAGAAGGGTCCCTTCTGGTTTCCCCTGCTGCCCATCAGGAGGCACTCAGGCAGCAACTGTGCAGTAAAGGGTACACCTTCAGCCTCTGGTTTCCCAGACCAGAGAGCTGTCAACACCATAAGCTATTTGGGCCTCACCTCTGGTGTTCTGGAGTGGCAGGCTGATCACAGGTGTGGTGCATCAGACTATGAAGAGGCTGGGTAGCCATGACTCTGCTGGGACATTGACCTCTTTGAGGCAAACAGCGTGAGCTGGAAAAAGTGTGTCTATCTGAGAGTTAAAAACTGGTGAATTCCCCTGTTGCTCTTCCCCATCTGCTGGGTCCGTATGATCTGACTGCCACCCGCTTTCCCCTTTCCTCACTGGGCTCCACACGCACTGGCTTCCTTCCTTCCTGAAGCCTCCATCTCCTGCCTAGCTCAGGGCTTTGTCAGCCACTTATCCTGCCTGTGCTGCTTCCTGTAGTGTGCTGAGCCACGTCCCCCAAGAGATATTTTCAAGTCCTAACTCCCAGAACCTGTGAATGTGACTTTGTGTATAATAGAAATGGGGTCTTCCAGATGCAGTCAAGTTCAGATAAGGTCGCACTGGATGAGGGTGGTCCCTAATCCACTGGCTGGTGTCCTGAGGACAGAGACACAAGGTGGGAGGCCTTGAGGACATGGAGGTAAAGATACGAATGAGGCATCTCTGAGCCAAGCACCACTAAGGATTGCTGGCAACCACCAGACACTAGTTAGAGGCAAGGAAAGGTTCTTCCCTGCAGCTTTCAGAGGGAGACACTTTGATTTCAGACTCCTAGTCTTCAGAGCTGTGGGAAAGTACTTTCCTGTTATTTTAAGCTCCCCAGTTTGTGATGTGCTGTCATGGCAGTCCCAGGAGACGAATACATTCCTTCTCCTTCGGTTGACACCTCCAGGACCATCTCCTTGAAGAGCCATTCTTTAACTCGCAGCCATTACCAGGCTCCCAAGTTCTACACCTGCAGCCCCACAGCCTATTCCAGCAGGAGCTGCTCTTTTGGCAGCTTCCCCTGACAGAGTGTAAGCCCCTTTGTGTCCAGGTTGCTCACTGTAAGTCCTCAGTCTCTGGGAGCACCTTCGGCACTCATTGGGTGAGCAATGTATTTTTGCTGAATGAATGTTTGCAGTCTGGAGTGAGCCTTATGGACTTCAGAGGCATCTTGATTTGAGTCTATGCGTTAGAACCAGTCAGAAGGTTGCCCTGGGTGCTTCCCCTAGAAATCCTCAAAGTACAATTATTCAAATTGAGTCTTTCAGTCCATGGTACCCTACGGTTGCAGATGACACAAAAAACTTGAGAACCTCTGAGGACTTTCCAAGCTGGGGCCTGTTCTTACTGTTTAGCGTGAAGTGTGTCTTCTTGCTAAGAACATGAACCAGAAATGAGTTTTACCAAGTGATTAGCAAGACTTTAAATAGAAAAGAAACTCCAAAATATGTAACTTCTCTCACACTTAAGCCTCGGTTTCAACTTCCCCTTCCTGCTTCCCATCACCAGAATCTCCAGATCTTATTTCCTGGGTCATGATGAATGGTGGCCCTATTTCAGACCTCCCCGAATTCTGCTAAACTTTCCCTCTTTGGGTTTTAGACAGATGTGTGGTAAGCACCTCTGCAATTGACATCTCCTGTGAGACCCTTCTCTTACATGCTATGTGGGTTTGGCCTCCAGTGGATTCAGAATGGTCTTTGTTGAGCACCTAAAAAGTGCTAGCTTTTACACTAGGCCGTTTGACACTCTGTAACTTCCTTTTCATTAATCTGTTCCAGAAATTTACGTCCACTATGGTGTGATCTCACTTCACAGCCCTTTTACTGATGAGGAAATTGCAGCTCAGAGAGGTCAAGTAATTTGCCTAAGGTCACACAGCTAATAAATGGCAAAGCTGTTTCCAATTCTAGATCTGCCTGACTCCAGTTGGTGGTTTTCCTTTCCTAAATTTTACAACTGAAAACCCATCCTAACTAGAGATGACAAGAGGCTTTATTGTAAGGATCCGGGCCGTGCCTAGGACTGCCTGGTGGTTATCCAGCAGCCTCTTGGGAGAAGTTGGACTGTTGGATTTGTGGACTAGGGACCCTTTATATACGCTTAGCACATACCACAAACCTGGCCTGGGGTCACCTGCTCTTGGGGCTGTGTTTTCTGATTAAGGGACGTTAGGCTAGCCACTTCCCACACCCAGCTTCAGTTTCCTCAGCTATAAAATTAAGACATAGATGTGCCTTCCATGCTGCCATCCTGCCCTGATAATCTGGGATTTTAGTATCCCAGGGCTACAATGCCCCATTCTTCCATACCCCTCCTACTCCTGCCTTTCTATCCTATCTTGAGCCATGGTTCACACACAAACTCCCTAGGCCTCCATGCAGGTCCCTTCTGTCAGAGGCCCCAGCTTCTCCACCCCTGTTCCTCCTCTCAGCCCACATCCTCTCCTCTCCTGGAGTTAGTCCAGCTTGGGGAGCTCCAGCAAGTTCTTTCACCTCTCTTAGCTTCCATATCCTTTTCTTTAACAACCTCAAATGAATGTAACAAGCCCACCTCACAGGCACATTATGAGGACTCGGTGAAATGAAACAGTAACCACTGTTTGCCTTTTAGGCACCTGGCACAAGTGTTGTCTCTGGAGCTGGGTGGTTGGGTGAAGATCTTGGCCAGGCTGCTCCTCCCCGCCCAAGCCATGTGTGACTGGACCAGGTGCGCTGTGGCTCCATGCCTCCACATGCTCTCCTGTCAGGCAGAGACAGCACCGACTTCCCTCCAGGCCTGTTATGAGAGTTACGTGAGTTGATATTTCTAAAGCACGTCAAACAGTGTGGGGCATTAGGCTAGCCCCTAATGTCTCTCATGCCAATGAGTGCTGTAGAAGAGTTAGCCAGTATTCGTAGATCAACTAATTACCCAATCAGCCTGACAAAGGAGGTACTGTGATTAGTGCCATTTAATAAACAGGAAAGTCGGGAGGCTGAGGCAGGAGAATTACCTGAACCCAGGAGGTGGAGGTTGCGGTGAGCCGAGATCGAGCCATTGCATTCCAGCCTGGGTAACAAGAGCGAAACTCCGTCTCAGAAAAAAAAAAAATAATAACCGGGAAAGATCAGTAACTTGGCCAAGGGCAGAGAAGCAGGCCTCGAGCCCCGATTGATAAGACAACCTAGAGGCAGGCTCCTCCCCTTCAGTTACGCTGACTGCTAGACAGAAGGGGGCTCCCCACTTGGGACTTAAAAGTTTGCAATAGCCATCTCGAAGTTCTTGAGAACCTTCATCATTTTATCTTTGAGTTTGTGTTTTGTAAGTGAAGTTCTGCTTCTGCCACGTCCTCGTCTCCCCAGACTTGCCCAAGACCGAGGAGGGGCAGAATCAATCCCACAACTGTGCCATGGGGCAGGGCTGTGGGGATCTTCAAGAGGCTGCATTCACCCTGCAAGTATTCCTGTGCCCCAGAGAGTATGACATTACATAGCAGATGAAAACAAAGCAAAACAAAAACACACCAGGATGGAGATCTCAGAATAAAGAAAAACGCTTTATTTTCTTCCTGTTTTAACGAGCATTTTCATTCTGCACCAGGCCTTGCTAATAATGTAGCCAGATCTGGGTGCGAAGCATGTCATGGGTGGGAATAAAATGATAGCGCTCTTTCGATTCAGAAAGACCTTCAAAATACTTGTTCCAACTTTAGTAATTCAGTGCAGTTTGTTCAGACTTTTGATTCAGGTAGAGACAAAATCTTTAGCTGAGGAGAGAAAGGTAATTCTTTTGCCACCATCTACAAATATATGTATGTATTTTCCCTAAAGCCTCCTAAGGCCTTTGCAAGATTTGCATCCAAAATGTGGGCCCTTTGCAACTGACATTCCTGTTTGGTAGTGGATGAGAGGAAAATCTTTATTTTTCTTCTTCTGCTGTTGCTGTAATCCTCAGATGCAGAGTGTTCTCTTTAAAAGAAGCTTTTAAAGGGCAATTACTTTATGCAAATGTGGGCATCTCTAGATGGCTGGCAAGGCTGGAGCCAGGCCACAGAAGCCTGGAAAGTGGACCACACGGTCTGGGCAGGGGGCCAGGAGGGAGGCCCTGCTTGCCGGTCTCAGCAACTTTCTTCTGCTGCCCCCTGGACCCCGTGGGAGAAGACTTAGCAGCCACAGTCAGAGTAATGGGAAGATCACACCCATGCAGAGCAGAACCAGGGAGGATACCTTATCTGGTTTATCTCATGAGAAATAGATAAGGCCCCTTGAGATCTGAGCAAGCAGCCACTCAAAATTAATCCCGGAAGCCACTGCAGACTTGTGTCCAATGAGAGGTCTCAGTTGGACAGAAGAATAGACCACGCTGGGCTGGGAGTAACCTCTCCTGCTTCAGTATAGGCCACAGCACAGCAGAGGGTGAACATTCCAGGAAAGAGTGAAGGACGCAGGAGGAGCCTGCTAGGGGAGGCCAGTGTGGGAAAAGGTGGCCTGGGACAGTATTGTGGGGGAGAGGCAGTTGGGCTCCAGCCTCTTTTCTTAGTCTTGGAGGCTATGCAGTCTTCAAGAGGTCACTGCCCCAGTGGCTAGGCCCAATCTCGTTTTCACAACCGCTTTGGGCATCTCTGAATCCCCAGATGGAGCAGCCCAGGAGTGGACATGCTGCCGTAGCCATGCCTCCTTGTTGCTCAATGAGTCTGTGCTCACCACTTCCCCAGCGCCTCCCTCTGCGTTTGCTGCGCTCCTCCTAGAGCGGCACCTTTCATCTCTGCCTCACTGAAAGCACCTTTTCTGTTTCTCTGTTTATGGGAGAAAAAATAGCATGAGAGGCAGGGCACAACAGACTTCGCCTTGGGTTCTGCTGGGTAAGTTTTTCTGCTTCTCCAAGAGGGGACCTGACTAGTGAGGCCCGAGGTTCAGATCAGTGCTCTAATTCCCAATGTGCAATTGAGTCATTTTTACTTGTTTCTACGGTGTGTTAATAGTAGCTGGCCTTTTCTAACTTCCATCTATGAGCTTGGCCCCCTTGCTAATCTCTCTACTACATGCAATATCCCTTTTAAATCTTTTTTTTAATCACAAAATAATTTACAGATGACAAAATGCAAAGATCTTAGGTATAGAATCTGGCTGGTTTTGCAAATGTATACATCTATGTACCCCTCACTCCCAAACACTCCCCCTGAGAGTTTCCTTCTGTCTCTCTCTATTTTCTGTCCTGATCATCCCACATCAAGAAGACCACCGTTCTGATTTCTGTCCCTACCCATGCACTTTCTCTGTTCTAGGACTTCTTAGAATCATCTGTTCTTTCCTCGCGTCTGGCCTCTTTTCTTCAGTACACTCTTTATGGGCATCCAGGTTGTTGCATAGATCAAAAACACGTCCTTTTTATGGCTGCTTAGTATTTCCTTGTCTGGATACTCCACACTGTTTATCATTTCATCTATTCCATGGACATTTGGAATGTTTTAAGTGTATGTTGATGATGAGTGAGGCTGCTATGAGATTTCATGGACAAGTCTTTTTATGGACATATGTCTTGGGGAAATACCTAGAAGTGGAATTGTTGGATCATATGCTGAGTGTATTTTTAGCTTTCGAAGCAACTGCCAAACTGTTTTTCCAAAGGGTGGCATCATTTTTTAACTCTTGCCGGGAGCAGAAGAAAGCTCCAATTGCTCCACTCCTCACCAACACTTGGTATTGACAGTATTTTTGATGCTGGCCATCTTAGAGGGTGTGAAGTGCTGTCTCGCCATGCTTGGTATTTGCATTTTCCTAATTACTAATGACATCGGGCACTGTTTCATGCACTTATTGCATATATCTTCTTTGTGAAGTGTCCAAGTCTTTTCTGTATTTGGGAAGATGGGTCGTTTGACTTTTTATTATTGAGTCACAAGGGTTATTTATATATCCTAGATACAAATCCCTGGGCAGATAACACGTCCTGCAAATATTTTCTTCCAGTCTCTACTCACATGGTCTGTTTTAATCCTCCCAGGAACTCGATGAAGTAGATGTTATTATCCTCTACTTTATTTCCCAGAAGCCAAAGCCCAAGCCCAGAGAGGTTAAGTGAAATGTTCAGAGTCACACAGCTCCTCAGTCCCGCAGTGAGAATGTGGGCCCACTGCAGTGTGACTCAGAGCATTGACATCCAGAAAATCCCGGGAAGCTTCTTTCCACACACAAAGCCTTGTATCTCCCTGGCAGTCTGGGGGCATGTGGTCCTCCAGTCAGTGCCGGGCTGGGTTATTTCGGTTCACACTCACTCCCTCTGCCTTGCACATACCAGACCATCCTGGGAAGTAGCTGGCTCCCACAGCCTGGTTGGGAGCGTGGTCTTCTGGGGAGGATGCCACACAGCTTTGAGTTGCTCTGATGAATGACAAACTGCAGGTATTCTTATGAGCCTCCGAGGACGCTGGCAGGATTACCTCATGCCAGGAATAACAATGAGGGGCCCAGGCGAGCTCACCAACAGCCCTTCTCTGGAAGGCATCACTGGAGGAAACCAGCCAGGAGATGGGAGACCGGGGCTGGGATATTTTGCCCATGGCTGTCTCGAAGAAGGGCTGTTGGGTGCCTCAGGGACTTCCCTCTTCCTTTTTCCTTTCTGAGCAGCTGAAAAGCGTCCCTGTGGCAGTCAGAGCAAAGGGCTAGGAGGTTTTGCGAGAGCAGGAACAACAGCAACACCAACCCTCAAAATGCTAGTTGGAATAGCAAGCCTTTCTGAGCTCTCGCTGTGTGCCAGGCACCGTGTCCACACCTGGCAGCCCTGTCTGATGCCAGACACTGGATTGGCTCTGAATTTACTACTTCGATCCTCATCACACCTCCGTGAGATACACATTATTCAAATGCCCACAGGAGGAAACGGAGGTCCAGAGAGGTGAAGGAATTTGCTTAACGTCACTTATTTGTAAGTGGTTGAAGTTTGAATAGGGGTTTAGCTAATTCTAAAGCCCAGTAGCTTTACTGTTATGCACTTCTGCCATTCTGTTCCAAAATGTTGTCAGATTTCAAGTTTGTGTCATGTACTACACATGAAGTGTCTCGGTCAGTGGAATATAAGATAAAATAAGACCTGTCTCTTCTTTGGGCACTGTAGTGGGTTGGATGGTGGATCCCCAAAAGAAATAGCTACATCCCAGAACCTGTGAATATCATCTCACTTGGAAAAAAAAAGTATTTTTGCGTATATAATTAAGGATCCTGAGATGTGATTATCCTGGATTCTTTGGGAGACCCTAAATCTAGTGACAAGTATTTTTATAAGAGACAGAAGAGAAGTCCATTCAAAAAAGGAAGCAGAGATTGGCATGATGCAGCCACAAGCCAAGGAACACCTGGGGCCTCCAGAAGCTAGAAGAGGCAAATAATTCTCCCTTAGGACATTTAAAAGGAGGTTAGCATAATATATTTCATTCATTTGAAGTGAGTCCCTAGGTCCAGCCCACCTGCAGCTGGCGTGCATTACACAAGGGCTTGAATCCTGGGAGGCAGGAATCACTGTGGGGCAGCGTAAAAGCAGTCTAGCACAGTGCCAAGAGGCAGGAATCACACTTTCTATTTCTCTTTTTTTTTAAGTTTGTAAGATTTTTTTGAGAAGGTGTCTTGCTCTGTCACCCAGGCTGGAGTTCAGTGGCACAATCTTGACTCACTGCAACCTCTGCTTCCTTGGTTCAAGTGATTCTCCAGCCTCAGCCTCCCAAGTAGCTGGGATTACAGGTACCCACCACCACACCCAGCTAATTTTTGTATTTTTTAGGAGAGGTGAGTTTCACCATGTTGGCCAGGCTGGTATTGAACTCCCGACAGCAAATGATCTGGCCTTGGCCTCCCAAAGTGCTGGGGTTACAGGTATGAGTCTGGCCCCATCTTCTATTTCTCTGGCAGTCCCTGGCCCCTATCTGAAAGAAAGAGAACTAACATTATCATTTTTATTTATTAAGAAATAACATTTATTGTCCATTGACTGTGTATCACCTACCATGCCAGATTCTTTAAACACATCATTTCATGCAGTCTTGCTTAACCCTCCTATGAACCCTGCAGAGGAAAGTGTTCTTATCTCCATTTGGCAGAGGAGGAAACCAAGACACAAAAAGATGAAGGCCACACAGTAGCCTCTCAGAGGAAGCCAGTGGCTCTCAAACTGTAGCTGCATCAGAATCACTTGAAAATAATTTCTGGGCCCTGAGCACAGAGTTTCTGATTTAGCAGCATTAGGGTGGGACTTAAGAATCTGTGTTTATTTTTCCTTTGTTCTTTATTATTATTATTTTTTGACATAGTGTCTCTGTCTCTCAGGCTGGAGTGAAGTGGTGTGATCTCAGCTTACTGCAACTTCCGTCCCTCAGGTTCAAGCAATTCTCCTGCCTCAGCCTACCAAGTAGCTGGGATTATAGGCATGTGCCACCATGCCTAGCTAATTTTTGTGTTAAAAATTAACTACGAAAAGTAGAGACGGGGTTTCACTGTGTTGACCAGGCTGGTCTTGAACTCCTGACCTCAGGTGATCCACCCACCTTGGCCTCCCAAAGTGCTGGGATTACAGGTGTAAGCCACCATACCTGGCCAGAGAATCTGTATTTCAGACAAGTTCCAAGTTGAGGCTCAGGCTGTTGGTTTATAGATCAAGCTTTTAGAACCACTGGAGAATCTTTTGCAGCAACAGACAACCCCTAAAGTTTCAATGGATTAACATATCAAATGCATTTCTTGCTTAAGTTGCAGTCTTACTCGGGTAGGGCAGCTCTCCTTCATGCTATAGCCCCTATCATTTGGAGCATATGGTCCCCAAAGTCACCATGGAAGGAAAAAGAGAGGTCAGAGGGTCACTTAGGATGTTCAAAAAAGCTAGGCCTGAAAGAGGCTTTCGTGCCTTTTGCCCAGCCTCCATGGTCCAAGAATCAGCCCGGAGGCCTCAAATTAACTGCAAAGGAGGCTGGGAAATGTAGTTCTTCCCCGGGAGGAAGCAATGATAAGATAAGCACACAGCTGGTCAGGGTAGGGCTGGGATTTGTTCTCAGGTGCTTTCCCTCCTTCCTCTCTTGCCTTTTTTCTGGTCCAGGTGTTTTTGGTGGGCTTTCTCAGTGTTAAGGAACTTCTGTATGTATGTGTGTGAAACTGAAAAAAAAGAGGAGGAAAAAGACATTTTTGGGTCTTCCAGCCCACTCTCTTGCCAGCAGCCTTCACCCTCTTAGAGGTGCAGGTGCTCAGCCTCATGGCTGATCACTACTTTGAAAGCCCTTTCCTCCAACATGTATGCAGAGCATTCTTGCGTAAGTTTCATCTGTACCATGTCAAGTGATTCAGGACCACCATCTCTGAATTTGAAGAACACTCAAGCTATTGGTTCTCCAGGACCTAAACCCTGGACTCCAGGCCACAGACAAGCTCAGAGTAGAAAACAAGTCCTTGCCACTCCTCCCCTATGCTTCATATTGCTCCAAACCTACCTACCTCCAACACGTGGTGTAGTTTCTAGCTTCCCTTCTTTTGCATGTACTGTGACATCTGCCTAGTATCTTCCTCTTCCCTCCAAACTTGACTCAGACAACACCAGCTCTATGAAGTCTTCATCAATCTGTCAAAGAAATATTCAACTTACCCTCACTCTGGGTCACAGGCACAGGCATGTCTCTTTGTCTAGCCTGTGGTCTAGCACTTGTCACGGTCTGTGTAGACTTTGCCCTTGCCTGCCTCTCCTTAGAGAATATGAGATGTCCAAGAGACAAGACTGCTTGGCATCTTCTTTTGGCCTCTTAATTTCTGACAAGACTGAGTCTGGAAGCCTTCCTGTTACCTGCGAAGCCCTCCTCAAGATCCACAGGTGAAGAAGGAAGTCTCTGGCACTTTTTTGAATCCCAGCTATGCCACTTGTAGGCTGTGTGACCAAGGGGAAATTCTTAGTCTCACAAATGCCGCACTTTTCTCATCTGTAAAGTGGAGCTAATAATGTTGTATCTGTTCAATGAAATAATGCATCTACAGCCCTTTGCACACAGTGCATGGAAACACTCAGGAAATGCCAGTCGTCACTGTGCTCTTATCACTGCTCTTGTTTAGCACACACCAGCTGCACCAGGTCACTTATTTGCTGGCAGTTTTGATGATCTTGCATGCCCCTTTACTTTTGCACTTTATCTGTTCTTGTTAGAGGTCCCTGTCCCTCACCTCTTAATTAATTAATTCATACTTATTCATTCATTTATTTAACAAAGCTTTTGCTGAATTCATTTCTCCTCATCCTTTAGCCTCATCTTGGCCCTTCCTGCCCATTCCCATTGAATTTAGCAGTCCTGTTTGACTTCTATCTTCTTTTCTGTATCTCCATGAACAATTTGAGAGCAGAAGCAAGGTGCTCATTTCCTAGTGGAGTTACCGCTATGAACCCAGTTTCTAATATCATCATCATCACATAGTGGGAGCTTAATGGACATCTGCTGAATGAATATATGAATGTTGCTCATCTCTGAGTCTGTTCCCAATGCTTAGTGCATTGTAGGTGCTTACCCAGGACTCTTCCTCCTGCAGGAAACCGGATCACTCTGGATGCATATCATCTAGAGGCCCTACTTGTGGAAGGGTTACTTTTAATCAGTGTATCTAGACTTTGCTACCTTGTGAACCACAAGGCTCTCCATGTTTAAATGTTTACCTGACCAAGTTTAAAATGTCCAGGGTTTGAGAAGCTCTCTGAACAGTGCAAGAGGACCCATTTCACCTGTGTTTCTTGGACAATCGCTAGAGTCTTCCAAGCCTTCTCAACAGTTGCTGCATTTGAAGATGCACTGCAGAGTATCGTCTCATCATCTCCTGATACCACAGTGCCTAGATTAGTGCCTAGTAACCAAGGAAGGAGGGAAGAAGCAGCCTTTCTCACGCTGGCCACTGTCTTAGAGATGTGGATTTGGAGTCAAAATGTTTTCCCTACTAGCCTAATAGTGTGGATGGTAACATGGGTCTAAAACAGTCCCTCGGGCTCTTCTTTCATGAATTTTTCTGATTTCTTTGGTAGCTGAGGTCTGGTTTTGATGTCCGAACTGGCTCTAGAAATTAATCTTTCTCTCTCACCCTTTTTTTTTTCTTTTTTGAGATGAAGTCTTGCTCTTTCACCCAGGCTGGAGTGCAGTGGCACAATCTTATCTCACTGAAACCTCTGCCTCCGGGGTTCAAGTGATTCTCTTGTCTCAGACTCCCAAGTAGCTGGGATTACAGGCACGTGTCACCACACCTGGCTAATTTTTTGTATTTTTAGTAGAGATGGGATTTCACCGTGTTAGGATGGTCTCGATCTTCTGACCTCATGATCTGCCTGCCTCTGCCTCCCAAAGTGCTGAGATTACAGGCGTGAGCCACCCTGCCAGGCCCTCTCTCACCTTTTTATGTAATTGCTTGATTTGTTTGTCTCTTGGGGGTGGCAAGGTGGGAAGTTTGCTCTCCCCAAGGCTGGCCAGGGTAGAACCTTCTGTGCTGGTGCTGTGTTGACAGCGGAAAGAGGTGCAGATGTTGGGGGTTGGAAAGTCAGCATGCAGGTTCAATGTCCTATGACCTCCTTAGAGGGACCCTGTTGGCTATTGCCTGCTCATGTCATGGAGGAACTGCATGTGATTTTTGTTGACATTTTACTTTTATTTCTAATTCTATTTATAGGAGGTTGTTCAGAGATTGCCCCAGTTTTTACTCCTTATTAATTGTCATGTTTAAAGCCATGTATATTTTCTGACTAACCACTTTTCTTTTCCCTATGAAGCAAAAATAATATTAATTGAAACTGTAATGTGTGGCAGAGACTTTGCTGGGTATTTTCACAGTTGTTTCATTTGTTTTTCATGATCATTCTGCAAGGTGGGTATTAATACTGTTAGTTCCATGTTACAAGTGAGGAAATGGCAGCTTAGGGAATGTAATTTCATGAAGCTAGTAAACAGCTTTCTTCATGACATGTACAATCTGTCTGGCTCTTTAATCATCCTGCCCTGAATCTAACTTCGAGGTTCTTTTTCCAGCGATTTTGGCATTTGACTCTTTCTGGGTTGCACACTATGTGCCCTGTCCCGCTGTGCTTGTATTTCATGGTATCTTGTAATAAATGCTTCAGAACATGGGCTCACACGTTAATTTGCTTGTAGTAATTATTTCCCTGAAGGAAAAAAAAATGTCCATTTATGTTTTGTCTTTCCAGACCCTCAGGGGCTGGTTCTCTGTGGCTCTTTTGGAGCAGATGTACCCAAGAAATCAATATAGCCATTAGATTCATCTATGACAACCATAAAGTCATAGCATCTCCTGCCTTGTAATGTTGATGGCAGTGTCAGAGCCAGGAGGAGGGGAAAGACTTAAAAGATGGGATGGGCGCCTCTAACGTGAAGGGGAGAATTAAAACCCCACGGAACCTCACTTAGCAGATGAGAAATTGTAGGTTGTTGCCTCTGGCATAATCAGGTCTTCTTTCAGATAATGTAATGGCTTGATGTCAGACATGGCAGGGGGATCGAAGCATTTGGGTATCATGAGGCCCCTTAGCAGCTGTGGGGAGCAGCTGAGAGAGCCGGAATTTTGTATTTGCCCTTTAGGTACCAGTGCTGAATGTCTTCAGAGGTGGGGTTGGCAGCTCTCTTGAGATTTCCTTCTTCCACTGGATCTGGGCTTTAATTATTATTGTTATTATTAATTATTTCCTGTGGCGAGGAGAGAGGGCATCATTTACAAGTACAGTGCTCAATCTATGGAGAGCACTCCAGGTATGTTTGACTAGTAAGTGTTGGTCTAGCTAACTAACACATTAAGTTAATTAACAACTATTTATTGAGCACCTTTTTGGTGTCAGGAGCTACTGTAGGTATGGAGGTGGAGATTGTGCAGGAAACGAAGCATATGAAACCCATGCTTTCAGGGATTTCACATTCTAGTCAGGACTAGGAATTCAGCTGAGCTAGTAGCTTGGATTTTCTCTCTCCAAAAGAGGTTGCCCATTGCCTCATAGTGTATCTTCTCCCCTTCTTTAGTGTAAAGCAGTATTTCTTAACCAGGAGCAATTTTGCCCCCCAAAAGACATGTCTAGAGACAGTTTTGGTTGTCACAGCTTGGTAGGGGATACAAGGCGTGTGTGTGTGTGTTCATGTGTGTGCGCATGTGTGCACTGGTGCCAGTGCTCACACTACTAGTATCTAGTGAGTGGAGGCCAGGGATGCTACCAAACATTCTACCGTGTGCACAGGACAGCCTGACAACAAAGAATTATCACCCTGCAATGCCAGTGGTGCTGAGGCTGGGAAGCCCTGGTGGAGACAGAAGTGGCTGCTGGGTCAGTGACTACATTTCCCAGCTTCCCTTGCATCTAAGTGTGGCCCGGTGACTTGTTCTTGCCAAGAGACCATGAACAGGAATGCTGTGCCTACATCCAGGAGGAGGGCTTTTAGGAAGTGGATGTACCTCTGTCCTTTCCTCAGGCTGGATGAAGAGAACAACAAAGTTCCAGGTGACCGTGAAGCCACCAGGGGCCCTAAATCAGCACGTGGAAGAGACTGTCTGTAAATCAGAGACTCTCAACTTGGACACCCATGTGTATAAGGAAATAAAATGCTGTTGTGTTTTAACCATTACGCATTTTAGGATTTCAGCTCCAGCACTGTAGTCTACCCTGACGACTGTTGTCCCAAAGTGTTCTCAGCAGTTCTTAAACAATAACAATAGCTAACACTTAGGCTATCAGCACACACCAGGAGCCAGACATAAAAACTTTTCAAATATAAGATCTTATTTTATCTTCACACAAACTCTGTGGAATAGGTACCATTATACCCTTGTTTTACAGATAGAGAAACAAATGCTCAAGGAGGTTAACAGGGCAAGTAAGTGCCAAATGGCAGTTCTCTTCCAGGTTCCAGTCTCAACCACTGAAGCAGATTCCTTCCTGCAGCCTTCATATCTCTCCATGTGGGCATTAGCATCTTTCTTCAGGGTCACCGTAACTGTCCCCTTTGGTTTCTCTGCCATCACTGTGGATACTCCAGAGTGAATGGCTTTTTCAAAACCAAATCTGAACGTGCTTTTTTCCTTCCCATCTTCCTTCAGTGACTTTTCATTGCTTTCAAGATAAAGCGCACACTTCTCAGCAAGGCAGAATATTCCTTCTGCCTCTACCCAGCCTGCCCAGCTGCCTTCATCTTTTGTTCCCTTTCCCTTTTGCCACACGTTCCAGTGGTGAGTGCAGGCTTCAGCAGCACAGCAAAAGGAGAGGACTATTCCTTTTCCAAAATCATTCTTGCTCTGCAGAGGGAATCACAGTTAAAGTATCAGGCTTTCCCTGTGGATTTCCAAGAATTCAAGAAAGGATTGTTTGACCATCCCCTGGGAATGCTGTTGAAAGGATTCTTACATTGGGTGGGTGGCTCATTCCAACCAGATATTCCTACAGTTCTTCAAAACACATAATTGCATAATGTAAGGGGAACCTGGTTTTCCAGCTTTGTTCAGTTCTCAAATTCTATTTGTTCTATTAAAGACTATATTGACTTTGGAAAGTAATTTGGCAACCTTACTCCTAATTATACTCCCTAGAGAACTCTCATGTGCAAAGCAGAAATGTATTTGCAATACCCAAAAAAGTGTTAAATATCCATCCAACAGAGAATGGACAAATAACTCATAAGTGAAAGCCAATGAACCTAGAGCTACACATAGTAAATATAGGTGAATTGTAAAAACATGATGTAAAGCATAAAAAGCAATCTGAAGAATAGGTGTATGGCCAGGTGCAGTGGCTCACACCTGTAATCCCAGCACTTTGGGAGGCTGAGGCAGGTGGATCACTTGAGGTCAGGAGTTTGAGACCAGCCTGGTCAACATGGTGAAACCCCATCTCTACTAAATACAGAAAAATTAGCCAGGTGTGGTGGTGCATGTCTGTGGTCCCACTACTTGGGAGGCTGAGGCAGGAAAATCGCTCAAACCTGGGAGATGGAAGTTGCAGTAAGCTGAGATTGTGCCACTGGACTCCAGCCTGGGCAACAGAGGGAGACTCCATCTACAAAAAAAGAATAGGTGTAGTATATCATAATAACCATATATACTGTGCCTGGTATAGGGTCCCAGTAGGAAGCAGAAGGCATTCCCAGTTGGAATTGGAGTTGGATTTTAAAGGGAAGGAAAGGAAGGGACCATTTACAGAATTTTCTGGAAAGAGGTTGTTTAATAACCACAGATTCCTTCCATTCCATTATTTATTCCCCATTGCTGCTCCTTATACCCAGAGAATGAATCCATTTTTCCACCCGTTTTAATCTGGGCTGGCCTTGTGACTGGTTTTAACAAATTAGGCAAAAGAGATTTGAGGTGAGTTTCAGAGGTCCTGCGATTTTTGCTCTGACCCTTTTGAAATGCTTCAGACTTCACGTAAAGAAGCTTCACTGGCCTACTGGAAGCCTCTTGAAGAGAAAGATACACCAACAGCCATTACCAATCAGGACGAGCTGATATTGACAGACTGCAAATGTACAATGAGCCCAATCAGCACCACTTTGAGCAGAAGAGCTGCCTAGCTGAGCCCAAGTCAAATTACCAACCTACAGAATTGTGAGCAAAGAACTGGTTATTGTTTTAAGCCACTAGTTTATAATCAACATAGTGGAGTCAAGGAACCAAGGAGGTTCTGAGGTGTCCAGGAACTTGCAAGTTGGGAGTTACCTTAAGGAGTAAGTGTAGGAGGTAGTGTTATAGGAGCCCAGTGGGGGCCTGAGACTCAGGGTACAGGCTGTCGGGCAGGCCCCAGGATCATACAACCATAGCAAGGATGAAGTGCTGTGGAAAATACCCAAGTCTCTCTCTCCTCCTACCCCACCCCCAATCTCTTGCCAGGTCCTTTGACTGAGCCCAGTAAGAACCAGAAAACAAGGGTGTCAGGGAGATGCCCTCTATTGGGAGCAGTCTCTGGGGCACAGAGACGGATCTGGGTTGGACAGGGGCAAATGGAGAATAACCAGGATGTACGCTGTTCACAAACACCAGACTACACACACATTTAAGGGAGTGAGAAGCCTGAGTTACTTTTGGGAAGGAGGTATTTTTATCTTAAATAGAACAGCAGGCACACGAGTACTCATTATGTTCCCATATATACTTTTTTTTGGTATGTCTGAAATCAGTCACATTTAAGGAGACCTTAAGCCACTATTGAGTCACAACATGGGTGACCTTGGAAACGTCACTTGACCTCTGCAAACCTCATTTTCTCCATCATATGAGGCTGACAACACTCCCATCATGGAATCCACATGGGGTAAAGCTTGTGAATGCATGAGTGCAATGGCTGCCAGCCAGGTAATTTTTAAGCAGTTACCTCTGTCACACATAAGAAGAAATCACATACAAGGATGTGTGTGTGTGTGTGTGGTGTGTGTGTGTGTGTGTGAGAGAGAGAGAGAGAGAGAGGCAGACAAAAAAAGAGAGAGAGTGCTCCATTTTGGCAAAAACCATCATCTGCATGTAAAGTAAGGGAACTCTTAATGCCTTTCCAGCTACCCTGTCATAGGCAATCCTCCTCAGCACCACACAGCTACTACACACACATGCACACTTATGCTCTCTTACACACACACATGCACACACACACTTGCACTCATATACATGTACACAGAGGTACATAAACACATTCATGCTCACACATGTATGTGTATACACACACACAGGCACAGACACACGTGCAGGCATGTAGAGAGGCATATAAACACATTTTTGCTCACACATGTATGCATGTACACCCACATACACACACAGGCACAGACACACATGCAGGCATGCAGAGAGGCACATAAAGACATGCTCACACATGTATGCATGTACACACACACTCATACACAGGCACAGACACATGCAGGCATGTAGCAGGGCATATAAACACATTTTTGCTCGCACATGTATGCATGTACACACACATGCACAGGCACAGACACACATGCAGGTGTGTAGAGGGGCACATACACACATATGCTGACACATGTATGCATGTACACACACATACACGCATACACGGGTGCAGACACACATGCAGGCACACATGCACAGCGACCTCATAAGGCCAACAGTCCCTGTTAACACAGGAAGGGGTCAACCTCCTTCCTTCAGCTTGTCATTTTTCCTGCAGGCCTGGCATCCTCCAACCCAGTGCTATGGCATTTGCTGACATGGAAACAGGATATATAAATAGGAGAGTAGGCTCATACGTGTTGTCTCAGCACTTTGGGAGGCCAAGGTGGGTGGATCACTTGAGGTCAAAAGTTTGAGAGCAGCCTGGTCAATATGGTGAAAACCTGTCTCTACTAAACATAAAAATTAGTTGGTCGTGGTGATACATACTTATAATCCCAGTTACTCAGGAGGCTGAGGCAGGGGAATCAATTGAACTCAGGAGGTGGAGGTTGCATTGAGCTGAGATCGCACCACTGTGCTCCAGCCTGAGTGACAGAGCGAGACTCTGTCTCCAACAGAAAAGGGAAAGTGGCATTTTATGGGATGATAATAGGAATGTTTGTTTCAGTCTGTTAAAGTCCTGCCACCTGCCTCCTGATAGTGCTGTGACTTGGACCACCTGTGTGACATCTGTTGAAAGCCAGCTTTTTCTTCAGAAAAATGGGAGTGGTGACAGTGCCTACCCCAGGGCATGCTGTAGGCACTAAATGAGAGAATGGGGGTGACTCTGTACCAGGCCCGGCACACAGTAAGCACTCAACAAATGGCACAGGGGCTCCTGAGTTTCAGACTCAAGTCTCTCCACCTTGAGCACCTGCGTCTGGATGAAAGGTCCTTCCTGGTGTGGTGGCAGGTAAATAAGTTTGTTGGCTTCTTCCTCCTCCCCGCTTCCTCTCTTTGCAGTTAGGGATAGGGGAAGAGACAAAATAATTCCTGCATAATATTTGTCTAAAGGGAGTGTGATGTGTAAGATAAGAAAGTGGGTGTGAGGTCTGTCTTTTTTTTTTTTAATAGCCCCCATAGCATCTGGCATAGGTGGGCACCACGGGATCTATGATGATTGATAAGAGTGTTTTTCAAATTCAGCTGTCAAAGACAGGGCAATCATCCTGCCTCCTGCCTGGAAAGTGATTTACAATTTTCCTCCTTGGTGGGATCCTAAGGCAAACAGGCACTTTTGTTTCCATGGAGAACCCACTCTTCCCTCTAAGGTAGACATCCTCCCCGCCTCACTCCTTCTCTCCCTCTCCCCTTTCCTTCCTCCTCCCTCTCCCCCTGCATTCCTTAAGTACTCCCTCTCTCTTTCTCTCTCCCTTCCTCTTCCCGCTTTCTTTTCTCTCTCTTTTCACTTTACTCCTCAGTCTCTCTAGCCCTTTCCTCCTCCCACAGATTCTTCTGCCCCAGAAGGGCCAAATGCTACCCTTCAGCTGTGTCCCCAGAAAGGGCCATGCCCATCCCTCCAACCTGCCCCTATGGAGAGGTGGGACTCTCTGAGGTCCCAGCTCAAAGCTCTTTGAGAACCATCCACCCAGGACTCTGGAACCATCTACCTGGGTCCCCAGACCAGGACCCGGTAGGCTGCATGATGATCTCAGCTCCAGTCTAGGAGCCAAGTGCAAATGTAAGTGCCGTCTCATCTCTCAGTTTCTTCACCGGCAAAGAGAGAACAACTCTCCCAGGAGCTGCCAGGAGAAAGAGCTGGGGTCTGGGGACTGGAGAGATTCCTTCGTGTAGGTCCTCTGGGTCACTCAGCTGATAGCTCTGCCTTTTGGCCTTGAAGTTTACTCAGCCCCAAAAGGAGATCCAGGACACTCTTCAGACCCAACGGCAAGGGGTCCTCTGCAGACCGATTGTTGAGTGGAATCCCATAAGTGCCATCTTCATGGAGAGCTGAGGCTGTGGTGGGCTTGGGCAGGTGGAGCGGCTGGGGACTCTGAGGCTATCTTCATGCCTGGCATCTACAGAGCTTCAGAAATGCCCATAACCACCAAAACCCATGTCTAGGTATTCAGAAGGCATAAGAAGATAAAGCCGATCTCAGAGTGTATGTCTGTTGCCTGTGAGCAGCTCCCAGTGTGTGCCCCTTAGTGTGTATGTGTATGCACATGCACATGTCCCCCCCCTCCAGTGGGTGGGCAGGAAGTTTGAACAACAGTCATTAATTTTGTATCAGACACCAGGCTTCAGTTACAGAATGTGAATCTTGTACATCTGGTCAGAACATTGGGATGTTCAACTTGGAGAACATGAGCCTGGTCTGAGAAACCCAGAGCCCTAACCAGGAGCCCCAGTGTCCCCACAGTGCCCACCTCAGGGCACCGTCTCTGTATTACAGCAGATCCATGTCCGGGTGGCCTCTTTCTGCTCTGAGGTGAGGCTTGGTGTCAGGGACCCAAGCTCAGGTTTGCATGCATTTTCAGCATATAAGTATCAGTTTTGCCTGTGTTTTGTTGTGAGTAATTATGCAGATTTTTATGTGGTCCCTGCTAAATATATGCTGATGCTTCTTTCCTTTTAACATCCCTCACCTCTCTAACTCCCACATAGACCCAGCACCTTCTTTGGGCCGGGATGTCTTCCGTGTGTGCTCAGCACACACAGATGATTCAGATAGTCCCTGCCTGTGAGAAACTTCCCTTCTGTTTGGGAGGAAGATAAACCAGGTTGCAGCAACAGTGTCTAGTCCTGAAGGGGCCATGGAGAGGGCATTCTGAGAGTGCAAAGGAGAGCCCCTAACCTCCCAGGGAACCGAATAAGGCGTTAGGGAAGGGAGGATGATAGAAGAGGCTTTGTAAGAATAGCTGCTGTATTACAGAGGTGGGCTGTGGGAGCAGGACAGAGTCAGCGTCTCATTTCTGGTAGATGTAAGAGGCCCTATAGTTTCTTAAAAAAAATGACTCAGCCTGTGCATTACTCTCACAGCTTTTGTACTAGAAAGACACATTTAGTGGAATGGCAAGCAATACAGGGAAAACAAGGAGGGGATGTCTCCATTAATTAACAACTTAGTTTCTCAAAGGGGAAGGAATACGAGAGAAGATGAACACTGACTGCTCACCTACTGTATTTCAGTCTACTTTACACATGATCTCATTTAGTCCTCATCAACGACTCTGGAGATTGATTGAGCCCATTTTACAGTTGAGGAGACTGAGGCTCAGGTTAAGTAACTTGCCCAAGCAGAGAGCAGGATTTTAAACTACAATCTCTATGGCTTAATTTCTGAGTCTGTGCTCTCTTTCCAACAAATCCTACTGCCTGCAAGAACCTTCTATAGAGAACATAGCATCGTGGTCAATGAACTTCTTGTCAAGGATCAAAACTTGGAATTCAATATAAAGTCACTATTATTCCGGAAAAAGAAAAAAAGAAAAGAAAAACCCCGATGCCTGCCTCCTTTGAAAAAATAGTGTGCCTTAGTGAGATGGGCTATTAATATACCTTGTCACTGACATCAGTATTGCAGTCTGGTTCTTTGGGAGAGCCAGGATGATGCTAATTTGCACACTGCTTTGCATTCATTTGCATTCTCTCTCCATATGCAAAATCCAACACAGCTAATTAGTGCAACCTTGTTACAATGAGACGCAGGCCCAGCCCTCAGTGCCAGAGCAGATGGAGCCCAGAACAGGGACTGAACCAACCCAAAGCCAGTCACGTCCTGCGTTGGACACACCAGGAGACTTGAAGGGAAGGCACAGACCCTGAATGAAAAGTAGGGTAACGGAGCACCATTATTCTTCAAATATTGTTCCTTTGAAGTAGATATTGCAGAGACGGAGGGTGAGAGAGAGAAAATGACGGTGGGGGGATGGGTGGGGAGGGGAATGGAGAGATCAAAGAAGGTGGCCAGAACCTTGCTGCAAGAAGGATTTTGTTGGAGAAAGAGCACAGAATTTGGATCCCAAAGGCCTCGGGTAAAGTCCGGCTTGGACTGTGGCTTTGCCACTTACAAACGTGGGACCTGGCACTTTGTGGGCTTGCAGGGATTCCATGGGAAAAAGCGGGTGGACATGTACTTTGCAAATGGTAATGCACAATATATATGTAAGGGCTCCAAGCCATGCCTCATAACCATGGAGGGCAGCACCAGAGCCAAGTGGGCTCTGCAGATTCAGCCTCCTCCCAGGGTCCAGAACCTGGATGTGATCCACAATATGTGGATATATTATAACATGTGGATGATACAGTGTGTGTGTATATGCATATGTGTACATATGTATATCTGTGTATACACTTACACAGAGACATACACACACACGCTAGCATTTAATGATCATCTAATAGCGACCACATACTCTGCTGTGATTGTATCAGGCATTTTGTTTAGTGATTCTCATGACCAATCTAAGATCTGTTTATTATTATTATGACCCCATCCTACAAGTATCACTAAGGCAAAGAATGCTTGCCAAGTGCACCAGGGCGCTCTTGCCAAATGATCGGGAATTCATATTTTATGCCTCCCTCTCCCTTTTCCAGCTCCTATGGAGACTATGGACTTTCTGTTAATCTGCTTCTTTTTCTCACATTGCCTAGTTGTGGTAATTTTGACATGGCCTTGGGTTTTGTTCTGTGTCAGCTGAGAACTCCTTCCTCTCAATTGGTCATTTTGGTTGGGCTCAAATACTTCAGCTCCGTGTTTCATTGCTTAGAGTGGTCTGTTCTACAAGGGTAGCTCTGATCGAGCAATGTAGATTGCATTACTGTTCACAGATATTCCCTGGGCTTCACAGGGGAGGGATTATATTGTCTTGCCTCGTGGGTACACAGCATGGCCACGTGGCTTGCTCTGGCCAATGGAAGGTGAGTGGAAGTGAGACATGTCATTTCATTTCTAGGAAGAAGGCAGCATGCGGTTTATTGTATTCGTCTTTCCCTTTTACCCTGATGATAGCGATGTTGCAGACAAAGTCTCTTTCAGGAGCTCAGCCAGGTCCGGGAGTTTCAAAGGCAACTAGTGATGGACAAGTCATGTGAATAAGAAATAAACATTTGTTGTGATTGTCAGCCTTCGTGATTTGTTACAGAAGCACGAACTAGCCTATTCTGACTAAAACATTCACTACCAATTGAATATTATGAGATTAGCTCTTAGAGGATGGCCTTTCTCCTAATTTGCAGAGGCGCATTATTTGAGCCCCCTGTGAACTGACTGTAGTTGTTTCTGTGGATGGCTGGACACTTCTCCCAATGATATTGTCAATACTCAAAACATTTTCTACTTCCATTCAAAAAACTGCCTTACATTTTAAAAATACTAAACTCCTGATAACACTACTACTCCTGCTGACAGCCAATGCTTTCTAAGATTTTCTTATTTAATGTTGACAAAAGCTATGTGAGATAGGTGTTCTTAATTTTCATTTTCCAAACAAGAAAAACAGAAGCTCAGAAATATTCAGTAATGCATTCAAGATCACACAGCTAAGTAGAGAGTGGAGATTGAAATCAGCATTCCTCTCAGGCACAAACCCTAATCTCATTACTTTCTACTCATACTTTCCCCTTCCAAAATGGATATTAACTAGCTGAGTCACACACCTCATTCATCAGAGATGGCTGCAAAGATTTTTTCTGCTATGAAAAGCAAAATAATTATAGTAAAAATAACATTAGACTTGATATTAGAAGATGTGGAGTTGGTTCACAGCTGTTTCTTGTAAGTCCAGTGACCTTGAGCTAGATGATTTTCCTCTCTGGACCCTGGTATTTTCCTCTGTAAAATAAAGAACTTTGCCTCAGAAAACTTAGTGCATGGATCTGGCCAGCAGGGTCCTTCTGTCTCCTAAAAACGTATGCAAAACATTGGGTGTGAATGCATTTTTCTGGGCAAAAGATATATACTATTCACCGGATCTTAGAAGGGGCTTGTTATTTACTTGCAAAAGATGAAGAACTCTAATTCTCTGATTTGTGGAATTGATTTATCACTTTTCCCAGAATTGGGTGTGCAGGCAAAAAGAATTTAGTCTGCAAAAATGGCAGTTAAATTTTGTAGGGTGAGTGTCAGATTCATCAAAGAATAACTGGAAGGCAAGCTGTATCATTTCGTTTAAAAAATCATTAACAAATGTTTCTGCCTCACATTCCTGTGGTTCCTTATTGCTTACTCTGCATAGAAGCTGTTCATTCATCTCCTCAGCCAGGGACTGTGTCATCAGTTGTGGCTATTGGTCATTTCCTGTCTCATTCAGCAAATAATCATATTATTCTGGCTGGGATGAGAATGAATCCTGAGCTGTGAACTTAGTCTCACAATAACTTGCGGATGTATTTCTTTGCATGTCGGGGGAAAGGAAAACAGAGCAGGAAAATAGTATTCATTAAGCCCCTATGCTATCCCAAGCTCTTCCATGGCATTTCATCCATTTATTTAGTCACATAGGTCTATTTTCAACCAAAATGTTGGGGCAACTATCATGCATTGGCCACTGTTTTAGGTGCTGGGTAACAACACTCAGACAAAAAAATCACATTCTGTAAGCCTATATTCTGGTGGGAGAGAAACAATGTGCCAGTAAAATATAGTAAAAAATATATTAGTAAAATATATATGCTTCACATATGCTGCTTCAGTATATGTGATATCTTCATATTACAGAATCAGAGACCGGAAATGTGATTTCTTATTGTTACATCTATATGTATGTCTATGACTTTATCTATCTAATCGAATCAGTTATTGACCTCTTTATTACCGTATTGTCTCTCAATGTCTCTAATAATCCTGCAGTTTATTCTGTCTGACACTAATATAGCCACTCAAACTTTCTTACGGTTATTAATTGCATGCTATCTTTTTTATTCTTTTACCTTTAATCTGCTTGGGTCTTATTTTTAATGTATGTCCCTTGTTGGCAGGATATAGTTGGTTCTTAATTTTTTATTCAGTTTGAGACTCTTTGTTTTTCTGTTTTATATATTTTATATTTTATATATATATTTATATTTATTTATTTTTGAGACAGACTCTCACTCTGTTGCCCAGGCTGCTGTGCAGTGACATGATCTTGGCTCACTGGAACCTCTGTCTCCTGGTCTTAAGCGATTCTTGTTGACTCTCTCTTTTTATTTAAGATTGTTATAATGATTGGTAAGTTTGTATTAAGGTCATCTATTTTTATCTTTATTATTTTTCTCATTTGTTTTTTATTTTTTCCCTCTTTTCCTGTCGTCACGTTTGTCAAGTGTTTTTAAAATATTTTATTTTAATTCCTTGTTTTCTATATACCTGTCTCTGAATTTTTTGTATGTGATTTCTCTATGGATCTTTGAGTTAATATTAAGCTAATTCTGATGTATCTGAAAATATCTGTATTCCACCTTCATTTTTGAAGCAAAATAATTAGAAACACTATTGATTGATAGCTCATTTTGTTTTAACTGCACTTTGAATATACTGTTTCAATATCTTCTGATTTACATAGTTTCTGATGTGATGTCTGCCATAGATTTTATTGTTAGTTTCCCATTGGAATGTATTATTTATTCTGGCTCTTTCCGAGGTTTTAGCTTTATATTTGGCTTCTAGCCCCAAATTGTCATAGTTTTACTATGATGTGTTCGGGAGTATATGTCTTTGTGCTTATTATGCTATGGGATTGTTAAGCTTTGGGCACCTTTAAATTAATGGTTTATACTCACTTTGGGAAACTTTGGACCATTATGTATTCAAAGACCATTTCTCTTCCCTTCTACCACTTTTTCTTGGATTCTAATTATACCCATGTTGGATCATGCTTGATATTGTCTCAAGGTCTTTGAGCTTCTGTTTAATTTCTTTAAATATTTTAAATTTCTGTTATTTGAATTGAATCATTTATATTGCTCTATCTTCATATTCACTGATTGTTCTCTTCTGATATCTCTAAAAATTTAACTTATTTTTCCTTCAAAGCTATATTTTCAGTTTAATAGCTTCTAACTCCCCATTTGAATTTCTTATTAGATAATTCATTCATGTCACATTTTGAAACACTTTTCTGCAAACTGCAGTATCTTTGCCCATGCCATGTTATTTTCTATTGCCTTTTATCCTGAGTATGGGCCACTCTTTTCTGTTTCTTTGCATGTGTAGTAATTTTTGGTTGTAAAGTAGACATTGTAGATAACACATCATAGTGACTCTGGATTATGTTGGGTGTGTTTGAGAATGGTTGCATTTTTGTTACAGTAAGTAATTAATAGGATTCAGAGCTCAAAGGTTGTCTGTCTTTGTGTGTAGCACCTGATAGCCTCACTCTTTTCTTATGGCTTCCACTGCCAGTTTTTCAGCCTGACTCTCTGGGGGTCTCCTAGGTGCCTGCAAAACTTGGTTATTTGCCAAGAATTTGGGCAGTATGAGGTTCACCCTCTCAGTTTTCTTTTATTTTAGGGATTTCCTCTGATTTCTAGTTTGTCTACCCACCTCAGGTTTTCTATCCTGACGTTTCAGGCCTATAAGACTTCAATTTTCTGCCACGTAAGCTGTGCAAAATAAGAAAGATATTTAATTAAAAAATATATAAAACACAGATATTACTTTTTGTAGTTCTGTCTTTAAAGAGTAAATGTCCACCAGTCTACTTACTTATGCCTTTTCCTGGTCCCTTTGGGCCTCTCCTGTGCTTGCACATTTTAGCTGTCAGCTGAAGATTTTGGCAGAATGTATACTTGGTGTTTATATCTCACTACTTCTGTGATTCTCTCATTGCCAGGAATCATCCTTTACAATGTTACCTCCTCTTCTGTCCCTATATTCTGACCTCTGGCACCTTAGGCCACTAAGATTATGGGTTTTCAGTTGTAGCCACGGGGATCACAGAGCACCCTCAAGTGAGAAAGTTGCACATTACCAATCCTTCTCATGGCTGTGGTTTTTAGGATTAAATTCTCCTCTGGCTACTAGCTGGTTTTGGATGCTTTCCAGTGTCTTTAAATTGTTTAAACTTTTTAAAATCCAGTTTTTATAATAGTCATCTGCAGGAGGAATTATGTAATCACTCTACTCCTATGCCATTGCTCCTAAGTAGATTTGACCCTGTGAAAATACTACAGTTAAGAAATGCAGGGTGGGTGAAAGGTTCTTCTTCAGCCATCTTAAGCTGAGTCCATTTCTTTGGCATTTGGTCTCCTTTATTCCTCTTTATCTCCTGTGAAATTCCTAGCAGCTTGGTCTCCTTTTATTCCTCTTTATCTCCTGTGAAATTCCTAGCAGCTGTGTCTTCAAGTAAAATGTAAGCTCTTGAGGCTAGCTATTTATGAAATAGAGCTGGATATGCTGAAAACCTTCAGTAAATTATACAGCCTCATCAATAACAATAACTATGTTGAAAATAAAAGCAATTGCTCCTCTTAATGCATTCCTACTAGAGGAATGAACACTTACTCTGGATTTCATGCTGTATTTGCTTTGCTCTACTCTGATTAAATAGAGATGTAGGATTGAATGTAATGGCAGACACCTGGATGCTTTCTTCTGAACACCCACGGTTTATTCAACTTTGTCACTCACTTCTTTTGAATCCTGAAATTCCTGGAATATATTGGTTTTGCCTGCCCTGCAGCTATCCTCCCTTTTGGTCCAATGCCTTAACTTCTCCTTGAGAAACCATCCCTGACTCATCCAGGTGAGTGGGACCAAGTGCAATGGGTCTATGTCCAGGCTATTTAGGGTGTTCCATCCCCTAGCTGGGGATTGAAGATGTAATTGAAAATGTAATATGATCCAGGTTGGTCCACTGAAACTTATTCCTGAGAATTTTTTTTTTTTAACTTTGGAGAGAAAGAGATTCTCCTTCACTTAAGATTGCTAAGAAGATAGAGAATGAAACTTTATTGACTTATCATTATTAATAACTTTAAAGATAAATGAAAGCAATGTGGATTTGGCATTTGTTCTTTTAGTCCTGTTTCCATAGAAATGGAAGCCACCTTGACATCTCTTGGAAAGAGTCTGCCTCACTGAAATCAAAACAAGAAAAATTAGACTTAAAAGATGGCATTCGTTTGTGTTCCTGGAAGCAGCCATCTCTGAAACTTTTATACCTTAAGTTTATATCTAAATTTTTGAGCAACCTAAGCTCATACATTTTTTTTATGCTAAAGCCAGTATGAGTTAGTTAGATTTCTATCACTTGCAACTCAAGAAACTCTAACTAATAAGTAATAATCGAATCACACAAGGCCCTACATAATTGTAGTGTGTTGAATAATATCTCCCCAAAGTTCATGTCCATGTGGAACTTCAGAATGTAACCTTTTTGAAATAGGGTCTTAGCAGACATTGAAAATTGAGACACTATCATACTGGATTAATGTGGGCCCTAAATCTAATGGCTGTTGTGGTTGTAAGAAGACAGAATACTCAGAGACACAAAGAAGGTGATGCAAAGATGAAACCAGAGGTTGGAGTGATGCATGTACAAAACAAGGGGTGTGAAGGATTCCCAGGAGCCACCAGAGGTTGAAAAAGTCAAGGAGGGATTCTCTCCTGTAGTGTTGAAGGACAGCATGGCTCCACCCACACTTTGATTTTAGTATCCTAGACTTCAGAGTCAGATAGAATAAATTGCTATTGTTGTAGCCACTCACTTTGCAGTAGCTTGTTACGATAACCCCAGGTGACTAGTACGATAATTTCCACTTATCTTTCCAGCCTCATCATAGAGACAACGGAGAGCACAGTGGGTAATGGTACAGACCCTGGAATTGAAGTCTCTGAATTCACATTTGGCTGCTTCACTTAAATCTCTGCAGTAGTCCAGGTTTTCCAGAGAAGCAGAATTTATAGGAAATAGATAAAAAGAGATTCATTCTAAGGATTTGGTTTGCATGGGTGTTCAGGCTGAGAAATTTCAAGATCCGAAGTCAGCAAGACCCAGGAAAGCTGATAGTACAGTTCTGGTCCAGATACAAAGGCCCAAGGAGAAGATCAACATCCCGGGTCAGCAGCAGTGAGGCAGATAATGAATTCTCTCTTGTACAGTCTCATTCTCTTCAGCTCTTCAACGAATGGAATGGGGCTCACCCACATTGGAGCAGATGGTCTGCTTTACTCAGTCTACCATTTCATGATAATCTCATCTAGAAACATCCTGAAGACACAACCAGAATAATGTTTAATCAAACATCTAGGCACCCCAAGTCCTGATCAAATTGAGACATGAAATTATCACATTCTGGGTCTCAGTTATCTAACGGCGCTAATAAGAGTGATAGCTCACTTCTCAATGAGGTTGTCATGAGATTAAAATTGGTTTATATTTGAAAGCACTTGAAACAGATTTTGGCACACATGGAACACTGAGTCAATAGCTGTTGTTGTTATGACTACCATCATCACTCTCTCCTGCCGTTCAACACAAACGTTGCCTACTCCAACTACAGTAAGCTGTTTGTAGTTACTCAAACAGAAATTAGACCAAGGAACTTGAGAGAACTTCTTGCTCAGGATCAGCCAGCTCCCGAGTGTCATATTATTTCTTTTTAACTTACCTTTTATTTTTAAATTAAAAAAAAATATTTTCAACTTTGGATGACACATAATTATTTATATTTATGTTTCAGTACATGTATAAAATGTAGGATGATTGAATTAGGGTAATTAGCATATCCATCATCAAAAATTTTTATGATTTATTTGTGGTGAGTACATTCAATATCCTCCCTTCTAGCAATTTTGAAATAGACAACATATCAGCTATAGTCACCCAACTGTGTATTGGAACACTAGAAACTATTCCTGCCATCTGTCTAACTGTACCTTCCTACCCATTGACCAACGTCTCCCTATTCTTCCATTCTCCTCCCCATCCATGTGTCAGATTAAGACCTGCCCAACTTTTCCTCCCTACAGTAACAGACTCTTCTTCTTGTCTTTAAAATCAGGAAATAGTTTTGTTTTTTTTTTCTTCACAGGGAAGGGAACTTTTAAAAGCTCATTACTTCTATTTGTCATATTTGCGATCAGTAAGACATCCCCTAAAAGCAATTTTATAAGCTCAGAAAGACAGACTACAAAGGAGGCCCCATAAACCTTTACAGATATTTCTGATAAAAGCAAGTAGGAAACATATTCTTCAATGTTCTACAAACTTTGCCATCGAAGACTTTTATTGATCTTGTGTTGGTCTCTGTCAGCACAGGTATCCCTTGGGACAATATATCCTGATTTTCCATCCCAGCATAGGCTGGAATGAAGAAACAATTTTTTGACATGTCCAGTCAAGACATTTTTTTTGTGTTGAGAACATAACACTGTCACAACCCTAGAGAGGTAATACCAGCATATTCATAAGATATACGTAGGTTTAAAAAAGTCTCCCATTCCCCTTATTGTGCGGTACTTTTTGAGATTCCCTGACCCATTTTCTGCCTGTACCTTTCCTCTGTGTCCCTATTTTTTTTTTTTTTCCTTTTCCTTTTGAGATGGAGTCTTCTCACTCCGTTGCCCAGGCTGCAGTGCAGTGGCATGATCTAAGCTCTTGCAACCTCCACCTCCAGGGTTTGAGCGATTCTCCTGCCTCAGCCTCTAGAGTAGCTGGGATGTGTGCCACCATGTCTAGCTAATTTTTGTATTTTTAGTCGAGATGGGGTTTCACCATGTTGGCCAGGCTGGTCTCAAACTCCTGACCTCAGGTGATCAGCCCACCTTGGTCTCCCAAAGTGCTGGGATTCCAGGCATGAGCCACCATGCCCAACCCCCTATTTCTTTTCACCCATTTCCATAGCTGTCTTTCTGCCTCTTTGACTTACGCATTTCTCTCATCTGCATTTCTCCGTTTCTGTCTCAGGTCTCACAACACATCTTCCACTGTTTGTCGTGGGAAAATAATGTTTCTTTCAAGTCTAAAGGTAATTGCCAAACCCATTAGCTTTTCTTGTCTCCTAAATTGTGATAAGTGCATCAACCTTTTATTTTTCCTCCCACTGTAGAGGGGCCATCCTGTTACATCAAGTTTTATTGTGTAAAATAAAGTTTTAATTCTGAGCAGGGTCAGTAAACTCTTTCTGTAAAGATCAGATAGTAATTACTTTTTGGCTTTGTTGGTCACACATAGGTCTCTGTTGCAATTACTGAGCTTTGCCACTGCAGTGAGCAAAGTATCACCATAGGCAACATGCAAACATACACTGTGTCTGTGTTTCCGATAAACTTTATTTATAAAGATAGTTTACCAGTGTCTGTTCTAGAACATTCCTTGTGAGAGATGAGGTGACTCTATGCATTTCTGATTTTCTTCCTTGGTTTTGTCCTTTTGGTGTTGTTGACCAACATTGTACAGTTAAGAGTGTGTAGCTGGATTTGAACCAGGTCTGCCTGAATCCCAGCTCATGCTCATTCCTCCCTCGCTAACTTCTTCTCCAAGGATACAAGTGTTTGCTGAGGCTGAGTGGAGTCATTTTTCCTTTCCAACAATCTTTAATGGAAATGGGCAAAGAAAAGCTTAGACCATTTAATAAGGAGTTGTTTCCTTAGCTTGGCATCTAAGTTCCACTAAAGTATGGTTCCAACCTCTTTTTTCAAGCTTCTGGTCCACTGGGCTTTTACCTAGATATTCCGCTGTGTCTGTCCCCTTTTGCCCACTCACTTTCCTCTAGGCAGCTGAAGTGCATTTTCACTGCTGCTCTGAGGGCTGCATGGCCCCCTGCCAGGAACACCTCCCCAAGTCCCCATATCTGTCTTTCTCAACTTTCAAGACAAGTTGAATTCCACTTAGGGAATCTGGGTTAGATACTCTCCTGGGTATTCTTGTACAGCACTCGCCTACCTGAAACTCTCCAACACCTTTCCATCATAGCACAGCTTGCAAAGTCCTCTGTGCTCTGTCCATTGGTGGCCATGGCCTCCCCCGCCACCAGAGCCCCTCACCTCCACTTACCCAGCTCTACATGTACCTGGCTTTGTGGCTGTATGTGAAGGGCGCTCTCACCTCACTGAGTGCTTAGAATGCTCTTCTTTTTGTCCTGATGGCTGTGTAACTCACTTCCTTCCACCATTCAGGTCTCCATTTAAATTTAACCCCCTTCAGTATTCCTTCCCTGGCTACTCGATCTAACACAGCATACCCCAAAGCTGTCATGGGGCCTTGTTTCAATTTTCATACTGCCCTGCATGCAAAACCTGACGATCTAGTATATGTTCATTTGTTTATTGCCTTCTTCCCAACTAAATGGAAAGCCCCACAAAAAGAGGGCATTTCATGCTTTATTCACATCATTCGACTGCTTAATCAACATTTGTTGACTGCATGAGGCCACCAGCAGAATAAAATTATGGGAAGAACGTAAGTAAGAGACAGAGCAATTCAGACATCAGATAAGTAGTTGGACCAAATCCCTTTACAACCCTTCTGATTGTAAGGATTCATGATTTGAGGTGACACTATCTCTCTCTGAAAATCAGATCATCCCCTTGACTTCGGTATCTCTGGTGATGGGTCCACTGTCCTTTCAGTCATCTGAAGATTTAAAACCCACCATCTGTCAGAGGAGGTTGTCAGGCCCCTTCTCCATCCTTCAGCCTGGCTTCCTCTGCCTGTTGGCTTCATGCCGCCTGCTTGGCTTTCTACGGGGTAGAGAAGATGGCTGTACTTATTTCCAATTTGTTTCCTCCTAGGTTAGCAATGTCAGCTGAAAAGACTTCTCTTTCCCAATATCTGTGTATTGATCCAGAAAAACATTCTGAGTAACTCTTGGTGGGGAACCTGCCCACCACTGGACTGGTCATTATTGCAGTGATGGGTTTTATGATGGACCTGCTTGCCTCCACTCCCGAGACTGAGGGTCAGAGTGAGGCTACCCTGACTAAAGACTGATCAGACCCATTTGGAATGGAAAAGAGGGTAGTCCCTTCATGGAAGTAGAAAGACTGGAAAGACAATAGCAGCACATGTCTTCTGTATAGCTGCCTATAAACGTTCTTAAGATATACTATCGATTGTGTTATTTCCTTGCTGAAAGAAGCAAAAAGGGCCAGTGCCCCTGTGTGACAGTCGTGGCCCGGGCCATGATGCTCCAGCACGGCGGGCATAGGAGGTTTCCGGAAGAGCTGGTGAGCTTGCTGAATACTTGAGGTGAGACTCTTCCTGCTCCTGAGCCTGTCTTTAAGTAGCTGTTGAATCAAGCTTTTCTGAAACATGCCACCCATTTTCTGTCTTTCCTTTTGTTTGCTTCAAATGCTTTTTCTTTCCAGAAGGATTTCTTCCTCTGTCTCCATCTGAACCCACACAGAAGTGCTTTACCAAACACTTCCTGAAATCTTTTCTAATTCCCCTCCCTTGAATATTCAGTCTTGTTTTTTGGAAGGGGGGGCACATTTGTATTCACTCTTCTAGGTTAACAGGTTGAGAGTAAGGACTTTTTTTTTTTCTGATTTATTTTCGTATCCCTTCCTGTTCCTATAATGTTCCTGGAAGGCATGATTAATATTCGTTGGACTGAATTTAATTAAACAGTTGAATATATCAGTCTACCTAACATCTACAGTCTGTATCATTCATTTAGTATTTACATTTGCCAACCTCTATTGTTAATTACTTCTTTGTGTGTATTTGTCTATGCAGGATTACCATTATCTAGCATGGAGCCTTCACAACATTAGGTTGCCAAAATATATTTTGTTCAATGGGATACATATTGATTGTGTGCCTTTTATGTGCTGGGCACTAATGTCAGAGGCCACAGCTACAACAGAGAACATGGCAGGCTGCTTGCTGCCTTTATCGAGATCCTAATGTGTTCTGAGAGCAAGATAATGAAATGTGCATTTATAGGAGAACTGCATGCTGAGAGCTGAAATGGGAGAGGGGAGCTGCCAGATAATTTGGGTGGGTTGGGGAAACATTGCTTAATCTGTATTTGTGAGATGAATGACTAGGGAAGTTATGAGTGAGAGTGAGAAATAGCCATTTTTTTTTCTTGAAGATGTCCTCTTCTTCAACTTATACTGAACCGCTCTCATAGGGCTAAACCCCCTCTTCTACTCTCATGGGTTTCCACGGTGCTGTCTTTTCTCCTTTCCTACTGCATTAACACATTACATTGAAATGTACATTGAGGTGTAAAATGTAATTGAGGGGAGGGGGTCTGGTTGCGGGAGAGGCCATGGTCGCCAGTGAACAGAGCACAGAGGACTTTGCAAGCCATAGTGTGTATGATGGAAAGGCATTGGAGAGCTTTAGGTAGGCAAGTGCTGTACTAGAATACCTAGGAAAGTATCGAACCCAGATACGTACATTTCAAAGGAATGTGCATTCTTGAACATTCTAGATGTACATTTCAATGGAATGTGTTACATTACATTGGTAACATGTGTGTACATTTATAGTCTGCTTACACACAGAAAACAGATTATATCATACTCAACAAGTCTGTCCCTGGATCTAGCACTATGCTTGGTACATAATGAATGTTCAAGAAATGTCTGTTAGGTGAAAAAAAAACAGCTAAACAAGGTGCATCTGAGTTGGGTTGGGGAAAATGAGAGGTTTATCAGAAAGGTGCATTGATCGGGGGCACCTTAAGGCCAGGGTAATAAACTCTAAGTTTATGAAATGTGATTCTTTGTTACAGAAGAAGGGGTAAAGGGGCCTGGGGACAGTGACAAAGACTGATGTTCTGATGTTGTTTGAAGCGAGATAATTTCATAGCTTCAAATAGGAAAGCACATGACCCTTTGTGCTAAACCAGAGGACAATAGACCTTGACTCACAACCACAGAGGCGGAGGAGATGCAGTTATTATCTTCTGCCAAGAGGTTACTCAAAATTAAACCTTCCTCTCAACTCCTAAAAGCCAGGGCCATGGCCTTGTCTGGGATTTGTCTTGTTTTGAAGAAGTCTGTTTGGCACATGGGTTTGTTTTCCTTCTTCAAAAACAAAAATAGACTCAGTCCTTGAGTAAACTATTCTTGGTGTGGGGTGGGGGTTTTGAAGTGCAGTCAGAAAAATGGATACTAAATGAACAGATGCCTTTGGGCACTGTCAGGAGTGCCCAAGGCTGGGGAAGTGGGGAGAAGTAAGAGCTATCCGTTACCACCAGGAATGTGATAAATGCCAATCATCATTGTTAGCTTTTCACATTCATTACAGCATAACCATATGCCAGGCACCATGCTGAGCACATGACATGGACATTGTCATTTGTTTCAGAAAACAACCTCCTACTGTAGAGACTACCAGTAACCTCATTTTGCAGATAGGTCATTGAGGCATGGAATAATTTACAGAGCATGAATTTATGCCAAATAGAATACTGAGTGGTGCACAGAGCTCATGTAATCCTCCCACCAGCTTTATAAAGTAGGTACCATGTAATACTCCTTGATAAGAGGCTAACTGGTATAAAGTTTCTGTAAGGTCAGTTATCCATGAGATAACTGAGCCCCTAAGATGTAACGTCACTTGCTCAGAGTCACACAGTAAATGGTACTGAAATTGGAACCTGTGTTGCATTAGGTGGACCTGGAAGCCCCCCTAACCTTCCACTCCATGCCACAAATCTGCCTCCTCTACCAGGTGTGTGTCTATGGGTAACAAGGAGAGTAACAAGGAGTGACTGGGGACACTAAGAGTGATCAGGACACCTGAAGTTCAGAGACCTGAACTTGAAAGTAGTAGTGATTGTGAGTTTTCTGCTTCCTATGTTCAGGGACTTGATCTACATTACGTTGAGTTCTAGCAGCCCTTCTTTAATAGGGCAGCCATTATCCCCATTTTACAATGTAGGAAAGTGAGATTTCAAATGGCTGAATCATTTGCTAAATGTTACTAAGCTACTCAGTGGCGAAGCTGGGCTTTGAATACAGGCCCGCCAAGAACCTAAGACAGTGTGGACTCTTCTGGGAGACCTTCTCCCTGGTTCTCAAGTCTATACACATGAACTCTACTTTATCTGCCAAAATGAAATACATCTGAAGAACAAAATATATCTGCGTGTACAGGGCAAATGCCTCTAGGAAGATAAAACCAGATTCAGAAAGGTGAAATATTTTATCATGGTCAAAACAATCAGTGACACTAAGCACATATAGTCAGGATTACTATCTAGAGTGTCACACTTGCAGGCTTCATGTGAGTGTGGCAAGGGCAGGTACATATGACCCCATGCTCAGAAGAGCCCTAGGCTTGGTTTAATGTTCTACCGTCCTTAGCTTTTCTCACGAATTTTATCTTTGAATTTGAGAGGTTTTTTTGTTTGTTTGTTTTTGTTTTTGAGACGGAGTCTCATTCAGTTGCCCAAGCTGGAGTGCAGTGGCATGATCTCAGTTCACTGCAACTTCCGCCTCCTGGATTCAAGCAGTTCTCTGCCTCAGCTTCCCAAGTAGCTGGGATTACAGGCACCTGCCACCACACCACAAAAATTTTTGTATTTTTAGTAGAGACAGGGTTTCACCATCTTGGCCACGTAGGTCTTGAACTCCTGACCTCATGATCCACCCTCCTCGGCCTCCCAAAGTGCTGGGATTACAGGCATGAGCCACCGCTCCTGGCCTGAATTTGAGTTTTATAAGTAAAGTTGATGGAGTAATGCACCATATAAGTGATGAGAGGAGGAAGGCACAATATCACATTTCTTGTTTATCACATATCGTCCTTGCCATGCCCCATGAGGACAGAATTCTGGTTGACTCACAGAGCCTGGAAGTTCAATGTGGATTCAATTCCCTTATACTTGCACTTAAAACTGGAGTTGTGCCATATAAAGAGGAATGCTAAAATTTATGCTGATGATTTAAATATTTATGATGCTTATATTTACATTAAATAAAAAATTTAAAGCAGCATGGCAAGTCAAAAGAGAGACTGGCAGAAAGGAAATAGTTTTATATTTTATTAATAGTCCTTTGAATGATACTTTCCCCCTGCTTTTCCAACAAGGGGCCCCACGTTTGTATAATATTGTCAGCTCTGCTGTTTTGTGAGAACAGCAACTTGAGGCTCAGAGAGGTCAGTGGCTTGTTTTAGGTCCAGGAGTTCATAATCGCCCAAGTGTCCACAGACTGATTTTGCTGGCCTGCTGGGGATAGCTGGACATGGAAGCTCTGAATATGTGGCTGGTGATGTTTCTGTTTCAAGACCCCTTTTTTACAGACTGGTCCATACACTTCTATAGACTGGTTCTCCCTAGCGGTAAGGAGAAGAGAGTCAGGAACTTGGATTCTTCTCATTTTTCCTACTTCTGTTCCTATCTGTAGACAAACTTATCTCTAGACCAACTTGAAGAATGATGAAGAAGAACTGGATGAAAATACTTAGAAAATATGCATCTGTAAGTTATTTTTAGTTGTAGGTACAAGTTGATGTTCTATCCTCTAGTGGGGAGACTTTGGGTATCTGCTAAAAACCCTCTAAACTAGAACCATTTATCTTCTGATTCTCCATCTTTGCATCTGCTCACACTGAGCTCAAGTGTACCTCCTCCCTGAATCCTTACCTGATTCTACCTGAGAATACTGAGGGGGAGAATTTAAGTATAGACTTGAGGTCTCACAGCTTAATTGGGGTTTCACATCTATCTATTACATATATTGTTTCAGTTTCCTGAATATCTCATTCTTTTTCCTGCCTCAGGACCTTTGCACATGCTCTTTCCTAGAAAAATCCCTCACTCCATACTCCAGCTTGCCTTAAAGGCAGCCTCCTGCTGATCCTTTGGTCCTCAATCTCATTGTGCCTGATGGAAGAAACCTTTCCTGTCCTCCTATCTGGAGGTTGCTGTATTGCTCTCTTCTCTCCTCTGACACCCTGTTCTCTTTCCTTCATAATGCCACCACAACTTCTAATTCTATCCTAACCTCTTCATTTATTAGTTAATATCTATACCCCTCTATAAACTCTACAAAGACAGGGACAGTGGTGTTTTTATAACTAGCCCTTCATTGTATACATGGTGCTTGCACAATGAACTTAAATTTGTGTGTGTGTGTGTGTGAGTCAAGATTGAACAAATTAAGGAGAAGTTGTAAGTACAGCGAGAGAAAGGAACACAACCTGGGGAAGGCAGAAATGCTTACTTTCCCCCAGGGAGTTTGGTGCTGGAAGCAAGAGGGCAAGGGACCTGGGCACACCTGTGAAGCTGTTATGTATTCTGTGGCTTGGCTATTTCTGTAGTCACAGGTTCCTAAGGGTGCTGCTGTGGCTACCAGTGGGCGTCTCTGGTGTAGGTGGCCCTCCCTGAAGTGTGCAGCTGCTGTGTAGGCTGAGGCCCAGCCAGAGCTTGTCCGAGGCCTGATAGATGGAGCAGCCGACAGCATTTTTCTTGCTTGGTTGCTGGCAGCTCTGACTTCAAAGCTGGGACATGCTGACCCAGAACACTGTGACCTTTGGCACAATTTCCTCTATCCTCTCCCCTACCTCCTCAGCAGGGAGGAGGGAACAAGTTCCCTTGCACTGGTTTTTGCTGCCTGGAGGGAAAATTTTTCTTTGATTCAGAGACTAGAGAAAGGGAGACATAGGGGATGACCCGAGGCAGCTGCCTTCTGAGCGTAGGGGGACTGGGTTCCACTGGGCTTGGAATTTGGCACTTTGGTAAGCTGGGTGGCAGCCCTGGAAATTTTCTCTTCTCAAGTACCATCTTGAAATGGGACCTGTTGTTGGAAGTACCTGCCTAGATGCTGGAAGAAGTAGGGCAGGGCCACTTCTTATCTACCAGCCCTTACCATCCCGCCTCCCAAGTGCCACCAGAATAGATGTGTCAACTTGCGTTATGATTTAGCTGAGAGTTACTACGGGTTCCCTGTTATCTTTGAAATGGAGATAGCAATAGAATAGAAACTTTGTAGAAGGAGTATGAGGATCGGAGCAGTGTGCATAAAGTGCCTAAGCACTCGATCAATCAATAAGTAGCCGCCGTCGCCATCAGCAACACTGCCATAGTCTTTCCTAGGCTGTCTTATCACACATGATCTCTTTTATCCTTATGGATTGACACAACCCCTTCTTAGCAGAGGAAACTGATGTTGGCAAGTGATCAAATGACTTTCCCACAGTCACGTTGCTAATATATGTTAAAATAAAGGGCACAAATCAAGTCTGTCCCGTCTTGAAAAAACGGTCTTTTTCTATCTCTTTCCTTCTTTCTTTCACTTTTTATTTATTTATTATTATTATTGCCTTGGCTTACCTCCTTGAGCCACGGAAGTAGGATCTACTTTATGTTGTTGGCATCTGCTGAAGACGTATGATTGTCACTATAACCATCTCTGTCAGTGAGATCAGAGGGAGCTGGCAACATTAGCGGAGGACTTAATAATTTGTGAGGTGCTTTCACCTACACTGCCATTTTTGGCATCCACAATCTTGCCTGTGTAGATGGAAAAGCAAGACAGTGACTTCATAGGGTTTCTTCCTTCTACCTAGTTAAGGCCCTATTTGCCTATGCCAGGGTGTGATTAGCTGATTCCTGGGATATGTACTTATGTGACCTCTTTTAATCTCAACTCTGCCATTTATGAGCTCTGTGACCTCAATCATTCTGTACCTCTTTCTTCATCTATAAAATGAAGATAATTATAGCAATGTGAGACAATATATAACAACTGCTTATCACAGTGCCCAGCACATACAAGAGCTTGGTAAATAATAGACACATACTACTATCAGGTTGGGAAAAAACCCATGTTCTGTTGCTAAAAATTTTTATTTCTTTTACAGTGATAGTAGCTGGGTAAAATTGGACTTAAAAATATTAAGTTACATATAAGCAAAAACTGACAAAGAGTTTCTGCACAGTGAAAGAAACTATCAACAGAATAAACAGACAACCTACAGAATGGGAGAAAAATTTTGCAAACTATGCATCTGACAAAGGTCTAATATCCAGCATCTATAAGAAACTTAAATTTACAAGAAAAAACCCCAAACAACCCCACAAAAATTTGGCAAAGGACATAAACTGACACTTTGCAAAAGAAGACTTATGTGCAGCCAACAAGCATGTGAAAAAAAGCTCAACATCAGTCATCCTTGGAGAAATGCAAATTAAAACCACAATGAGATACCCGTCTACCACCAGTCAAAATTGCTACTATTAAAAAGTAAAAAAGTAACAGATGCTGGCAAGGTTGTGGAGAAAAGGGAACACATATACAGTTGGTGGGAGTGTCAGTTAGTTCAGCCATTCTGGAAGACAGTGTGGTGATTCCTCAAAGACGTAAGGACAGGAATACCATTCAATCAAGCAACCTCTTTACTGGGTATATACCCAAAGTAATATAAATTATTCTGTTATAAAGACACATGCACTTGTATGTTCACTGCAGCACAATACACAATAGCAAAGACACGGAATCAACCTAAATAAAGATTAGATAAAGAAAACATAGTACATGTACACCATGGAATATTATAGAGCCATAAAAAGAACAAGATTATGTCTTTTTCAGGGACGTGGATGGAGCTGGAGGCCATTACTCTTAGCAAACTAATGCAGAACAGAAAACCAAATACCGCATGTTCTCACTTATAAGTGGGAGCTAAGTGATGAAAACACATGGACACATAAAGGGGCGACACACACTGGGGTCTTTCAGAGGGTGGAGGGTGGGAGGAGGGAGAGGATCAGGAAAAGCAACCAACAGGTTGGCTTAATTTTTGCCATTTTTACAACTACAGAAAGTAGAAGAGTGCTGCATCAAAGTAGGGGATGTTCAGCATAGGTTCAATGAATGACTTGGATGATAAATAATAAATCACAGATATGTAATAAATCACACACAAAAATAACAGCAGTACTAGGCCTAATTCCTGGGCAATGAAATAATCTGTACAACAAACACCCATGACACAAATTTACCTGTTACCTGCACTTGTATTCCTGAACTTAAAATAAGTTAAAAAAAATTAAGTTACAGAATACTAAGGAGACCTTTGAACACTGGGGGAATTAGGCAGGAACCCACTGCTTTAGAGTAACTAGAAATAGCAATGCCCAAGGATGTGGTTTTGCTTCAGGACCAAGGACAGCACCAGACTTGCTCCCCTGCCCCTCACTTGGGACGTGGCCTGTGGGACCTGAGTTAAGAAGTCTACCTCAGGGCTTCCTGTTCTGCACTTGCCACATGTCTCCTGACTTCTCCGCACCTACCTCTGGCATTCTTCCCACCTAAAATGCTTTTTCCTCTCTTGTCATGAAATATTTTCAACATAGCAAGAAGCGTAGGGAATATACTAATCACCTTTGCACCTACCACTCATATTGAACAGATGTTGACATTTGCCACAGTTACTTCTGATCTTTTCTCTTTTAAAATGAAACTTGATGGAGGCCATTGTAGCTTTTTTACGCATCTCCTCATCAGTATTTTTCCTTCCTCTCCCAAGGTGATTGTGGTCCCTCACTGTCTTCTCCTTTCTCTACCCCAGTTCTCCTCCACTCGTCCAAGTCCTCCACATTTTAAAGAGCCAGGTCAAGGCCCCTGTCCTCCAGCTCATGATGACCTTTCTTGCATGGCATTATTGCCCTCGATTTTGGAGGGATCACTGTGATTTATCATCTTACTCATTCATTCAACCTGTGCTGAACAGCCCCTACTTTGGTGCAGCACTTTACTACTTGCCGGGGTGCAAAACTGACTTCCACATGGTCTCTGCTTCCACGAGCTCACAGAACATGGCGTGTGGGTGAACGTTATCTTGCAGTGAGAAGGAAAGCTTGTTGGGAAAAGGACTTGTCTCTAGAAGTCTGCCACAGCTTTTGCACAGGAATTTGATCTCACATAAACACTTGTGGCCTTGTGATCAGAAGACTGGAAATGGTGTGAGAATCAGAAGCAAGGTACAGATGTCTGCCCCATGTCAGGTTTTATGCAAGGTTTGTGAAATATATTATTTCATTTAATGTTCCACAAACCAGCAAGATGAGTGTTACTACCTTTCTTTAACAGATGTAAAGTCAAGGGTTGGAGAGACTTCAAACTTGCTGAGAAGTGCAGTTCACATTTTAACTAAAGCTCTTTAATGTCAATGCCTGTATTGATCTGTCTCCCTCTTTAGACCATGATCAACTCAAGACAGACTGAACCTAGTTCATCTCTGTTTCCCAGGTCCACCACTTTTTATGAGCAGATATTTGATGTGTGGACATATATGATGCAGTAGATCTCTGTAATTAAAATGAAACAAGGATGCATAAGTCTTGCCCCCAAGGAGCTTACCATTTAAGTGGGAGGGCAGGCTTTGTAACAGATGCAAGAAAGCAGTGCCTAGATGCCTGTCACACAGCATGGGGTTTCTGCTTTGAATGGGATGGGAGATTACATTCTCTTTGCT